TAAACTCACTTCAAACTGAATTCGTATATCAATTACTCTATTCTATTCACTCTGGTTTGCTTTGTACTCAAGGGTTGATTCTACAAAGTGGCATTTGAGAATCAAAACAGCCGTTCCATCCGACAATGGTTTGTACAAATGTATCGTGTCAAATAGACTGGGAAATATATCAAATGATTTTAAGTTGGTTGTACAAGGTGAGTATTAAAGGGAGTGTAAATCAAAGTAAATTGTCTGAACTTTAGACTGATTTTTCGCATATACTGTGTTTAATTGTTGGCACAATTGTTGTTATTTAATTGTTGGCATTATATTTCGATTAAATCTAGACCGTTTCACTGTAATTAAGCGATATACAGAATAAAAATATATGATATGTATTAAAAATATACAAAAAGCACTTTTGGGCTACCACTAGTACATGCAGGACTACATATACTACGTCGCTATATTTCTGAGTTTTTTTTATAGAAAAGGGACCATTACGTCCAGTGTTGTCCAATCGTTTCCCCGTCAACAAAACTGTTCGTGTTGGCGACAACGTGACATTTCAATGTATAGAGCTCTTTAGTCCGATGTTGACCGACTATCGTTGGCTTCACTGGAAGAAACTGCCTCCTAGTTACCCGGAGTTGAACCTTGCAGAAATACCTTCCGCCAATTCCTCGTATTATACATTGATTAATCATCGACATTATAAAGCGTTTGACGTCGAAGAAAAGGACGGAAAATACGGGGGGAGAGTTCATATAAATAATGTTACAAGAGAAGACGAAGGAATGTACACCTGTTTGATCACAAATAATTTTGGCCAAGGTTCAAGGAATGCGTTCTTAAGAGTTGTAGATTCAGGTTCGTGAGTGCGTTTGTAATTGACTAGATTAAGTTAGATAGACCGTATTCGAAATATCTTGACCTAGTATAGTTCAGCGGTTGGAAGAAATTGGACCCACATTACCAAAGGTCGCCTTTCAATCCCCACAAGCTAATTTTGCAAGTTGCTGGGTTTGCAAGTTGCTAACTTAGCGTAGCACCATCACAATTATATATGCACGAGTTCTGAAAAATTCTACTCTTGGCGAAAAAAAACAGACGTAAACACAGTAGATTTCAAACAGTTTTATCTTGCATTCGAACAGTTTTATCATATAACTTTTTTAGAAATTTCAAAACCACTGGAGAGAGATGATGAAACAGAAGAACGTGGTAGCAGGAAGATGGCTTGCTCTGTCTTGATCACAACAGCAAGGCCTGAATTCAACCGAGGCAAACAATACAGAAACCTTACCATTACTTTGAAATCTGTGAGACCAGACGACGCCAACGCGTATGCATGTAATGTGTCAAATCGCTACGACTCTATAAACATGACCGTCATGACGTCTGAACAAAATGGAATCGGTAATTATTTCTATCAGATTAAGGGGCTGTTTACATGAGCCCGGTTACCGGAGATTCAGCGAAGCGTGAGATGATTTTGAGGTATTGAAATGAGCAGATAACATGATCCTGGCTGTCGTATAATCATCACAACAATAGCATGTACTTGTTTGGTGTCATAAAGACTTATTTCAATACCTCAAAGTCCTCTCACGCTTTGTTGAATCTCGGGTAACCGGGCTCATGTAAACAGCCCTTAAGTCTCTATATGAAACAAAGCAAGCATATGGTATTGTCAGGAAAATTACAACTGCCAGAATCATTTTATACACTCATTTCAATACCTCAAAGTCATCTCATGCTTCGTTAAATCGCGGCTGAGCGAGATCATGTAAACAGCCCCCTACTCAAGGTTATACATACGACATGGTTAGCAAATTCTAGGCAAAGCCGCAAAGAAACGTGGAAATAAAAGTGGGTCATTTGCAAGACTCATCAACGTGTAGTCATTATCATTAGCTTAAAAGCGCAAGCAGACCAGGCGCTCTTGCACTGATTTAATTCAAATACTAACAAAAGATATACAGGGTGAGTCAAAAAATGTCCCCTCTATTGAAATCAAGCCTTTGTTCGAATCTTATTGCCTTAATATTATGATAAACCCAATTGAAAGCAAAACGCTTTATTTGAATGCCTCAACCTAATAAATATGCTATTTACACACTACTGCGTTGATCATGCATTCAAATTCCAACAAAAGCTTCATTTCAATAGCGGGGACTTTTTTTTGACTCACCCTGTATTACAAAAAACAATTGTGAATACCAAATAATATCAATGATAGTACCAAAGGTCGAATTAATTCATAATGACCTTTCGAATATGAGTTGACTTTTTACTTCTCAATGTTCCGGAATTGCGATAGAGTATAGTTTAGCTACCTGCATGAACTTTAGTTTTAGTTGCTAGCTCCATGTCTTATTGTTTTCAGAAAGAGGCAAACCTATTCTGGAAGATTTTCGTAACGTGAAAGCGATCGAGGGAGAGAGTGTGTCGTTGACCTGCAAGGCGTTCACCATCAACAGGCCAAAGTTGATTTGGTTTAAATTCGACAAAATCTTAAAACAGTATAAATTGGTCCTGGAAGGAGATCGCGTTAAATTTGAAGCCGTTGAGGACAGAAGCATGGGATGGTATGGCGAGAGACTTCGTTTATTGAGCGTTTCATTTCAAGACTCCACGGAATATTTGTGCATGGGCATTAATATCATCGGGTCAAATACTCAATCGTTGATGGTCAAGGTTTTGCCAAAGAAAGGCGAAGAAAATATAGGTTAATCAAGGTAAATAAGTTCAATTTATCAAGCCATGCCGTCTATGGCAATAATTTGATCTGAGATAAATCTTTAATTTCCTCTTTCCGTTGAAACCAAGCAGAAATATCTGATGGCCGCGTGATGTCTGGATTAATGCTGACGAATTTTGGTATGTCCTTTAACAGTTGATTAACGTGAACATGACTTATTGTAATTGCGAACATGTGGTTTAATTTGACTCTATAATCTTGTTATCAAAGTATAGCTGTATTTTCATGATGATTTTTGATGAAATGTCAAATGTTTGAATGTCATATCTTATCGTTTTGAAATGATATTTTTATGTATGTACAGTAATCACCGGCTAACACCACCGTTAATAGAATTATGCATGTTTGGAGACTAAATAAAAGTACAATACCACTCATTAACTATATATGTTATTGTCCAGGTTTATGCAAAAATGGTTCCTTCCTCGTCACTTTTCTATTGTATTTTAGCCAAATTTACCAATAGCATTCGTCTTTCTAAGCTCATCAACCTTGACTTGCAAAATCTGTGCAAAATACAATAGGCATGTGATGAGAAAGGAACAATTTTTGCATAAATCTACCTCAACATAGTTAATGAGTTGTATTGTACAGGGTGTCCCAAAAAAACCGAAAACTATTGAAATCACTCATTGTTAAAATTTGAATGCCGTGTGCAGGAATTTTAACCCGTGGGGATTTAATGCAACTCAGTGAAATGCTAGATGCTTTGTGTTGCTAGGGAAAGGGGACATATCAAAGGTGATGGTGATTGAGATGCACATTTAAATATTGTTAATAAATATCATTTTCGCGTACGAGCAAATTTTACTGCATCATATGCATGCATAAAAATTCTTATGGCAAACATTTACACACTTGTGGGTCCCAACAGAGTGCTTAGGCTTTCAAACTCTAACAATTACATTGTTATGGGTGATTTCAATAGTTTTCGTTTTTTTTGGGACACCCTGTAGTTTTATGTGGTCTCTAAACCATGTATATTCCGTATTAATTGTGCTAATACGAACTTGCTTTACTCGGACTCTTTGCTAACTCGAATCTGATTTCCCTGGCATTTGACACTGTTCTTATAGTAATTTACTCCGCTTTAATCGAACTTGCTTTACTCAATAAATTTTGTTTTCCCTTGGTCGAATACATCCCTTTAACTCGAACTTTGTTTTCGAATCATATAACAGCAAACCTTTTGTGAGAACTTATTTTGACAACCGAAAACTATTCAAAAAACAATTTAATCGGTGTATAATTGAATAAATGATAAATGATAAAATACTTCCGTAAATGATTATACGTGACGTCATCATTTTCAAATATATCCGGCAAAGCTGTCCACACGTATTCGCTAAGCCGTCGTTTTCAAATTCTTCCACTCTGGAGAGTGTTTTCAGATTCTTCCGTTTTCAGTGAGCGAAAACGCCGGATACGTGTGGACGATACGCGTATACCGTAAGAATATTTTTGCGTTTTCAAATTCTTCCGGCATCGTGTCAATGGGGCCTTGAGCCTGTTTTCCACTAGGCGGAATTTTTCGACCGAACGAAATTTTCGCTCGATTTTCTTCTCAATTGTGAGAATTTGTCGGAGCGGATTCCCTTCACCGGTTACAATTGAAAAGAAAATCCAGCGAAAAATTTCGTTGGGTCGAAGAATTCCGCCAAGTGGAAAACCGCCTTAGTTTAGTTTCTTTCTCAGTTCACCACGAAAAGCGGTCATCGGCATTTGACGATCACCTGTTTCTTCCAGATATTTGCCCTCTCATATAGATCAGCGTTAAAAGCCGTCTGGCACTATTCCAGACTAAGACGTAATAATCTCTCCAGTTAAATTCACCTGATTCAGAGCCAGAACTTTTTTTATGATGAAAGATTAGCTAAAGTTTCGATTACACATCCATAATCCATCCTGTCGATATCAGGAATCTTTTATGAGCTCGAAATTCTATTACTTGAAATTCTATTTTAGCACTAATGAAACATACAACATAGCTATCAATGCTGAAAAACTCCTAAACATTCGACTATAAGCATCGCTAAATCGTATAAAGTTTCAGGGTTTCTTTCAAGTTGACTATCAGTCTATCACTAACTGCATGTAACTCTTTTAAAAATATGTCGTACAGTAGGTATGTATAGTGACGTACATAGGATGTACAACGACAACCTTCTTCCTGAAAGGATCGATTTACCAGTTACCACGACGTATACAAGGGATTGCGCGCAGCGTTCTCGATTACATTTCGAATCAGCTTTGGTGAGAACTGAGAAGCAGTTCAAATATACCTGCTGCGATTTACGACTTCAAAATAAAGCTGTGAAATTTCTTCAAGACTTCAACCAGAGTAAGACATTTGTGTATGTTTTTAATTAATAACTGTATAATTTTTGCTGATTTTTTTGGACACCCTGTAGTCCGTTGTCTCATGGTAGCCGCGCAACTTAAAGTCCCCATTAACACGAGACATGCAGCTTGCATATTCAACTTATAGATTCTCAATAAATAAACCCGCTAAGCTTGGTTTAAACCTCTGCGTCAGGTTGTATTACTGTATCTAATCTGGTCATTTTAGATTTCGCTTCAGACGAGACTTAAATAAGTGTCGTGATGCTCGTCAAATTTTGTCTCATTCTTTGCGGTTTGTTCTTCCTGGAAGTTCAATCATCAGGTAATTCACTTTATGGTTTATTTATGCTGCTAAAATCTGCACGGGAAACAAATCGAATTAGAATTTCCTGAAGAAAATGAATCCGCTTTTAGTAAACATATTTTATTAATCAATTGATCTGTAGTGTAGCATATGGACAAACAAAGTTGACTTTCCTCTGTCTTCTCTGTTAAACTATATAAGAAAAAGTTCGGATTAGTAGCGGTCCATTCAGTTTAGTCATTACAAAAAGCAAAGGGGGAATGTCCAACTGGACCATTGCTGCTCAAAAGGGCAATAGGGCAATTTCTGAATGAAGGAAACATCTTTAAAGTACATTATATGCATTGACTAAACTGAAAGAATAGGCTTCGTCACAGGATAGCTACGACGCATATTGATTTGGAATTCCGTCAAGTTGTATAAAGATGCCTTCCACTTGCGCGCGGGAAAATTTAAATGCTTCCTAATTTTTACTATTTAACACACAGGGCAACAAATGCATGCTAAAATATTCGGAGAACTAAGTTTCTTCGATTTATTTATCTAGTTAATATGACATATCAGTGTAAAGATTTAGACCTTTACGTGCGTGTACTGCGCATAAAAAACGGATAATCCCCAACATAGGATATAATCGGATAATTTTTGTATGGCGTCGTTGTAATAGATTAATAATTGTAGCGATATCTACTGTCAGCAGTGCGCAAGACTTGGTGTAGTAATCCTATCAGTCGTTTGGGGAGCAGCTGAGAACGCATTAGAAGGCTCAATCATAGGCGGAATTTTAAAAATGACAAGCGAAAGTTTTGGCAATATAAGGGACTGGATATTTGGGTAAATTTTTCGAATAATGTGGTTAACTAGCTAGGAATTCTGTTTACCTCAGGAGGAAAACCTAAGATAGTTGACAAATCAACTGCTACTTACTCGGCGAAAGTTGGGGAAAGAATTCGTTTAAAATGCGATTTCCACCGCTGGGAGACTGGTTGGCAAATGACGTGGTACAAAGATGGCGAGGTTATTTCGATTCGAAGAAAGTCGAGGTTTAGAATGCGTAATGGGGTGACGAGCATGCTGAGAATCAAGAACGTACGAATCCGCGACGCTGGAATATACCAGTGTGTGGCTAGAAACAAATACGGCACAGAAAGTAAACAACTGAATCTAACAGTCACAGGTAAGTTGTATGGTGATTTGTATGATAAGTAATATGCAATGTTGTGGTCGTGGCAGTTCGACGCAGAGTTGCAATGCAGAGCACTGCTGCCTCATAAGGAATACTGAAGTCATACGATGTTCAATATTCGTTTCATACTCCATCATTCAATATTTTTAGGTCAGTTAAAGCCGCGTGGTGTACCCGGACAAGGTTAGTGCTGGGGTTAGCAAACTAGGAACTTCATTTCATGCAGACTGTTACAGTTAAATTTAGCATGAAGACACAAATGACTAATTTGATTGATTGACATTAATTGATATAATTCAAAAGCGTGCAAGTTTATTATCAGACCCTTTCTCGCGTAGGTTCACCGTGGTTTGCAAAGCTGAGGCCTGTGAGGCAGTACATCGCCTGGCCAGCGTCGAATGATCTGAGATTACGCTGTGCGGCTGATGGAGAACCTCCCTTGAAATATCAGTGGCTGAAGGACGGCAAAGTCCTGACATATCGTGGCTTGGATCCAAAGTACGTCCTGGATTTATAGTTGCAGTATTAAATATGGCCTTCATCGAGAGAAAGATAATACTCAGTAGCGTTTTAAAATTGGCAGTGGACACATTGGGAGACAAAAGACTGTCACATTCGTTTATTTAACAATTGTTCACAGAAGGCGAGGTGAATATCGCTGAAAAAAAACCGAGACGAATTTGTTTTAGTATAATTACGAAGGTTATTTTTTGAAAAACGAATCTGTTGTAGAAAAAACATGTGTTGCAAACGTGAACAAATATCTTGACTGTTTTACGACGATTTAAATGAAAACAATGTACATTATTTTCGTCAAAATAACGTATTTCTTTGTCTGTCAATTTGACAAAACGACATAGATCAATTTTGAAGTCAAGTGAAGAATGAAATGACAGTCGTTTGACTTTTTGTTTCTAAATTATTCCACCAAAGGGTTGACGGTACGAAGTAGTATTTGATGATCAAAACAGCCGTTATATCTGACAATGGCGTGTACAAATGTATCGTGTCAAATAGACTGGGGAATATATCACGTGAATACAAATTGAAAGTAATAGGTGGGTAGATTTAATGGAGTGTGAACTAAATAATGTTTTTAATTAAATGTTCTTGCACAATGTTAAAATCCGTATCTCAAGAGTTACTACATTTTCACACGTTCTTGCAATAATGCTGTGTTTCTTTATAGAAAAGGGACCAATACGTCCAGTGTTATCAACTCGTTTCCCCGTCAACAAAACTGTTCGTGTTGGCGACAACGTGACATTTCAATGTATAGAGCTCTTTAGTCCGATGTTGACCGACTATCGTTGGCTTCACTGGAAGAAACTTCCTCCTAGTTACCCGGAGTTGAACCTTGCAGAAATACCTTCCACCACTTTGTCGCACCACGGGTCAAGGGTATACATAAATAATGTTACAAAAGAAGACGAAGGAATGTACACTTGTTTGGTGACAAATTATGTTGGCCAAGGTTCAAGGAATGCGTTCTTAAGAGTTGTCGATTCAGGTTCGTGAGTGAGTTTGTAATTGACCAGATTAAGTTAGATAGACCGTATTCGAACTGTCTTGACCTGGTAGTTCAATTGGACCCAAATTACCAAAGGTCGCCTGTTCAATCCCCACCCTGGTCAAGCTAATTTTACAAGTTACTGGGCTGGTAACTTAGCGTAGCACCATCACAATTATAATTGGCGAAAAAATAGACTTAAACACAGTAGATTTCAAACTAAGCCCAAGAATATGCGGTTTCATAGCCCTATAATGCAGATCGAACAGTTTTATCACAACTTTTTTAGAAATTTTAAAACCACTGGAGAGAGATGATGAAACAGAAGAACCTGGTAGTAGGAAGATGGCTTGCTCTGTCTCCGTTGCAGGAACGCCTGAATTCAACCGAGGCAAACAATACCAACATCTTACCGTTGCTTTGAAGTCTGTGAGACCAAACGACCCCAACGCATATGAGTGTAATCTGTCAGGTCGCTACGAATCTATAAACGTGACGTATGAACATAATGGAAACGGTAATTATGTCGTCGGATTCATGTGAATAGCTTGGACCTACTTTCTATGTCTCATTTTGGTCGCATCCCATAGTTTAAACAACAGATAATGCGATAATAATTAAACATTATTAACCTTTATTATTATCTTATTTATCTTATTACCTTTTGTTCGAATTGAACTCGACGCGCACAAGGTATGAATAAGGCCTTATACAATTGTACAGGGTGCATGAATATTCGATTTTTTTGGGAATTTCAACCTCGATTTCAATTACCTCGATTCAACGAAGCGTGAGATGAGGAAAATCAGCATTTATGGGCAAAGAAACGGCGAAAGAAAAGTGGGTCACTTGCAAGACTTAAACCTAAATCATAAATATTATCACCTTAAAAGATGGTCAAACAAAGAGAACAAATCGATAAGAATTGCATTTAATTCAAATACTAACAATTACAAGACAATACCAAATAATCACCTTTCCTTGGCAAATCAATTGACTTTTTACTTTCGAATGTTCCAGATTTTTCCAAAATAGCGACCAGAATACCTAGTGTAGTTAGCTAAACTTACGTTTTAGTAACTAGCTCAATGTTTTATCGCTTTCAGAAAGAGCGAGGCCTATTCTCGAAGATTTTCGTAACGTGAAAGCGATCGAGGGAGAGAGCGTGACGTTGACATGCAAGGCGTTCAACATCAACAGACCAAAGTTGATTTGGTTCAAATTCGACAAAATCTTAAAACAGTATAAATTGGTCCGGGAAGGAGATCGCGTTGAATTTGAAGCCGTTGAGGACAAAAGCATGGGATGGTATGGCGAGAGACTTCGTTTATTGAGCGTTTCGAGTCAAGACTCCACGGAATATTTGTGCTTAGGCATTAACTTCATTGGGACAAATTCTGAATCGTTGATGGTCAAGGTTTTGCCAAAGAAAAGCCAAGAAATATAGGTCAATGAAGGTAAACAAGCTAAATTTATCAAGCATGACGTCTATTCAATAATTTCATTTGAGATTAGTCGTCGTTAATTTCCTCTTTCCGTATTATTATGAAACTTAAGCAGAAATATCTGATGACCGCGTGATGTCTGGATTAATGCTGACGAATTGCTTTTGGTATGTCTTTTAGCAGTTGATTAACGTGAACACGACTTATTGTAATCGCGAGCACGTTGTTTAATTTCATTGTATTGTCTTGTAATCAAAGTATAGCTGTATTTTCATATGATTTTCGATGAAATGTCAAATATATCATATCTTGTTGTTCTCAATTGATATTTTTATGTAGTATATGTTATACATGAAGTATTTACTGATTTGTATTATAATCCAGTTAGTTTCTTCCTCAGATAGACCTTAGTCGCCACGGAAAGCGGTCACTGGCTGTATCACCTGTTTCTTCAAGCCTTAATTCTGCGACATTTAAACGAATGTGAGACGACTTTGAGGTATTGAAATGAGTCTGAGACATGATCCTGGCAGTTGTGTAGTAATCACAGCAATAGCATGTGCTTCTTTTGTTTCAGAAAGACTTCTTTCAACACCTCAAAATCATCTTATTAGCAAATCAGTAATTTTTTTAGTTGAATTCACCAGATTTAAATCCAAAATGTCAGGGTTTTCTGAGGTCCAAATTCTCTGAAATCCTAGTTCACCCTTGATGTAACGTTAGTATTCCAGAAATGGAAAAATCAGTCAACTATATGCTCTCCGTCCTTCCTGCCGAAGGACCAATAGTTGACTCATTTTTCCATCAACTGTTCCTGGCTTTAAACCTCTAGAATTCACCTACATCAGGTGCCAAAAGTCATATAATCGGTTTACCCTCACGTATGCCAGAAACGTTGAAAAATTAGCTAAAGATTCGACTATACACATCGCTAGAAATCTAGAGCGCGTATAAAGTTTCAATTTTTATTTTCACCTTGAATATCACCAGTTGTAACTCAAAAAATGTGTCGTTTGGAGGCGGGTTACACGACCAAAAATTGATCAGGATGTCGCATCAGGAGTGAACAATGTTGTGCTGCACCCTGGGAACAGTATTGTTAACAATGTTGTTGAACCTTGTTGAATCATGTTGATGTAATCACGATGCAATGTTGTTGTAACAAGTTGCGACAACATTGATGATTCAACAAGCTTCAACAACATTGTTAACAATACTGTTCACAGAGTGCAGCACAACATTGTTCACTCCTGTTTTTAACAACTTGCATCAACATAATGATTTTTACGCGTGTAATATAGGCCAATAAGGGGAAATAATATCGAACTTTACCTTGAGTGAAACTTTCAACACCAACCCCCATGCACAGGATGTATCAATTTACCTTCACGTATGTACATATACAAGGGTCGCTTAGCATTATTGATTACATATCGCGAGTCATCTTTGGTTGAAAGCACTTGATAAACGTGTTGGAACTTGCGACGACTTCAAATTGAAGAAGTAGGACTTTTTCAACTGCAGATATAGGGTAAGACCTTTGTGAATGTTTTAAAACCTGTATAATTTTGGCGTTATTCCGTTGGTTTAATGTTTAACTAACGACATCTGCATGTGTGTATAACATAAATAAACAATAAAGTCAATATTGTCTGTAGCAATTTTCATGAGGTTTTCATCCTCTAAACAGAATGAAGCTGTGAACGAAACGAGACATAATATTCAACGTAAATTCCCAAGGCTAAAAGCTCTATTATTTCAGTTAACAATTTATCATTATAGAGATTTTGCTTCAAACGAGACTTGGAGTGTCAAAATGCTCGCCAGATTTTGTTTCATTCTGTGTGCTTTGTTTTTCGTGGTGGAGTCAGGTGACATATACTGTATACTCAGGGCCGTAGCTAGACCGCTTAATTGGGGGGAGGGGTGTATATTCATATATATTCATGTTTATATACCGTAGAAACAATAGCGTACAAAAGAAATCAGTCGGGCATATATAAGACGAATATATAAATATTCTGTATTCACCCCCCAATTAAGCTTCTAGCTACGGCCCTGTCTATACTTTCAATTTATCGGCACGGCATGACTTAAATTGGTACCCGTACCCAACTTTACTCCGACAGGAAAGACTGTAATCTCGAGCGGTCTAAAGAGGTTATGTAGATCATTAAACTTCCCACTTTGTTTTATTTCTGTTCTCCCCCCGTTCCATCTACCTTGCCTAAATATCCGTTACGGGGGGTTAGTGAACTTTATTTGTTTGGCCATTTCTTTTAATTTTCAGCATTCACACGTACACCAGCGAGTCCACCATTACTCTATAAGTACAAGTCGAACGTGGTAGCATTACTCGGCCAATCACGGGTCAAGCTTCGTTGCCGCGTGTCTAATGGCATGGGAGCACAATATTGGTGGACAAGGAATGGCAAGAAAATACGGAGATCGAGGAAATATTTTGTCACTTATTTCCATAATTTGAGGATAAAAAACGTGGGAGCTTCTGACGCCGGAGAGTACGTTTGTCGGGCAAAAAATGATGTCGGAGAAAGTCACCAAACGATCACCCTCATTGTTAAAGGTAAAATTTAAAAGACGAATTTGATTAGAAGAAAATAACAACGAACAGATAAGACTGTACACTTTCCTTGTTAATTTTAATTTGTTTCTTCATAGATCCAGCCAAAGAAAATACTACTGAAGGTAACACTAATAATAACGAAATAATAATAGTAATAAAAAAGCTGTAGTGTATATACTGATATTTACATTGGATAGCTCTAAATAAGGGCCGTACTTTATCCCATGAATCATCTACGATGCCATGCAGTGTGTATGTGTTTACTCGCTACCGAGAAAAGACGAAATAAATCGCTTTGCGAATAAATTTCAAAAAACTCATTTCTTCCAATCTTATTAGGTCTTGTTTTACACTCGGTTGTATGGTTTCCATACACGATGTTTTAATCATAACAGTTCATTTTTTTTAAACCTACAGAAAGAAAACCGTTTTTCACGCATCTGGAAGAGATGACGAAAAAGATGATAATAATCCCGGCTGGTAACAAATTCAAAATCACATGTTCGGCTTCCGGTAGACCATCGCCAACAATCGCCTGGTACAAAAATGGTAAACAGCTTAAACTAATGCCCGATGGTTCAACGGCGATAAAACCGAGTGATTTTATCTTAAACTTCGATTCACTGAGACCAAAAGACGATGGAAAATACACGTGCTTCGTTTCAAACAAACTTGGAAATGTTAGCGCGTCATTTGACCTGACAGTCAAAGGTAGGATCGTGGTATTTTCTTTCTGATTTCCAACACAATTAACGCGGTGGTCCGAACGTGCGATATTAACTTTTCATGTTCTCCAACTATAGAAATAATACTCGCAAAACCAGTGTTGCAAAAAATGAAAAATGTGGACGAATGAATTAGTTACTGATATTCAAATAAGAGCCCTTATACATCAGAGCATTCGTAACTTATTACTCGTTCACATCTATCAAAAGACGAAAATCGCAGCAAAAATTGCAAGTCTAAACTGACCTGCTTCCCTCATAATCCCCCTCCTGTTTTGCCAACTTTTCTGAAATAATGTCAGGGGGGTCAGTAAATTTTAATCTACTTTCAGCATCCCCGCCACCATCCTTCCAGAGTGACGTGTCAAACGCGACCGTTGTGCTCGGCGAATCAGAAGTCAGGCTTCCCTGTCGCGTGATCGCTGACGTAAATACAGAATATTGGTGGACAAAAGGCGGGAAACGGATAACGAAACGAAAGAGATATCGAATCAAGAAATTCCGTTATTTGAGGATAAAAAATGTGGAGAATTCCGACGCCGGAGAGTACGTTTGTCGGGCGAAAAATAATGGTGGAGAAATTCAGCAAACGATTACTTTAATTGTTGAAGGTTAGATTAAATAATGTATCCTTAAGTCATAATTCGTAGACTTCTCGCAATCACAAATGAGAAATGATATGGAAACACCCTATATGCATTGCAATCTTGTCTCGAAAGTCATCATATATCGTAAGCTGTATATTTTAAGTTTTTCATAGGAGACACGTTATACAATTCCTTTGTTATAAAAACCGAAATTCAGACTTTTTACAAATTGACAACTCGGATCATTTCCCCCTTACTAATCGTAATTTCATATTCTTTATAGATCCAGTCGGAAATTCTCCTGAAGGTTAGAATTACATATATTAATTCCTTCATTAGTGCAGGCTCATATGGTCAGTGGATGTCTCAATCGTGAAGCTTTTATACTTAAAGTGTTTTTATATAAGAAATTTTATGCTTGAAATGTGCAAAGGTCAAAAAGCGTGGTTTTAAAACACGATTTTTGAATCATGACGAACTGAATTTCTTTTCCCAAACGTTTAGATCGAAAACCGTTTTTCACGCATCCAAAGAAGATGACGAAAAAGATGATAATAATCCCGGCTGGCAACAAATTCAAAATCACATGTTTGGCTTCCGGCAGACCATCGCCAAGAATCGCCTGGTACAAAAATGGTAAACAGCTTAAACGAATGCCTGATGGTTTAACGCGGATAAAACCGAGTGATTTTGTCTTAAACTTCGAATCGCTGAGACCAAAACACGATGGAAAATACACGTGTATCGTTTCAAACAAACTTGGAAATGTTAGCGCGTCATTTGACCTGATAGTCAAAGGTAGGATCGTGGTATTTTCTGTCTCATTTCCAACACAATTAACGCGGTGATCTTGACGTATGATATTTTTTTATGTTCTCCAACAATAGAAATAATACTCACAAAACCAGTGTTGCAAAAAATGGAAAATATAACCGCATACGAAGGAGACAATGTGACATTCATTTGTAGAGGATACAGCGACGCTTTGCCTCATTTTCAATGGATAGTGAAGAATCCAAAAAAGAACAACTCGATTGAAGTTTTACCTTCCGGACTGGAGCGAGACGACTACATTTGCGATAACAAAAGACCGCCATGGCACTGCGCGAAACTGCTACTTTTGAACGTGTCGCGTGAGGATGAAAGACAGTATTATTGTATGGCAGGGGATGCTAGGGGATGGAGCAAGGAGACAGTTTGGTTGAAAGTGCTGCCAAGGCGATTTACTCCAGAAGGTAAGTACCCTATACATGCGAAAAACCCAATTGAAACTATGGCTAAACCACCTCCTAATTCTTAGACTAAGTGTTTCGAATTAATTTGAAAATGAGCAGTTAAACAAATTCTTTATGATTGGATAAATTGCTTTTAAAACTCGTTATGGGAATAAGGATTTTCAGCTCAAAGTGGTATATTTTCATTCTCATTTCCAGCACAATTAATCGGTGATCTTAACGTGTGTGATATTAACGTGTGATATTTTTTTAAAGTTTTCCCACTAGAAATAATACTCACAAAACCAGTGTTGCAAAAAATGGAAAATATAACTGCGTACGAAGGAGACAATGTGACGCTCACTTGTAGAGGATTCAGCGACGCTTTGCCTCATTTTCAATGGATAGTGAAGAATCCAAAAAAGAACAACTCGATTGAAGTTTTACCTTCCGGACTGGAGCGAGACGACTACATTTGCGAAGACGAAAGATCGCGATGGCACTGCGCGAAACTGCTACTTTCGAACGTGTCGCGTGAGGATGAAAGGCAATATTATTGTATAGCAGGGGATGTTAGGGGATGGAGCAAGGAGACTGTTTGGTTGAAAGTGCTGCCCAGGCGATTTACTCCAGAAGGTAAGTACCCTGTACATATGAAAAACCCAATTCAATATATGCTTAAACGACGTAATTCAAATTAATTTGAGGATGGGCAATTCAGCAAGTTCTTCAGGATTGGATAGATTGCTTTTAAGACTGCTAAAGGGAGTAGGGATCTTGAGCTCAAAACGTTACCTTGATTATATGTGGCGCGAGTGTTACTAGTCCCAGAAATTCAAAGGACATGGGGATTAGAATTTAACTGCTAAATTTCTTTGTGAAACTGATCATCGAACATGGCGGGGATAACGTGACTTTCACATGAGGAAAAGTACAGTAATGCATTAAATGTGATACTTTGTGTGCCAGTAAAATTGATTTATTAATTGATCAATTGATCTGAATGGGGTTGCAAGCAAGGAAGTACTTTTCTGTCGCAGAAAAATGAATCCTAGTTTATCCTTTTTAACCGCTTTATTTCTATCTGCAGAAATCGAAGCGGGTAAGCCAAAATTTGCACCCGACTCGTACGTGGCCGACATTGGTGGCACGGTGCGTTTGAAGTGCGCTTTCACAGACTGGCGCGTTGAATGGACAATGACCTGGCAAAAATATGGCGAAATTTTGCAACTTCCGACAAATGGGCGCATCCAATCTGTCGTCGGAAAATCGTCTTTTCTGGTTATTGAGCATGCGCAGAAAAATGACACTGGTATTTACGAATGTGTTGCGTCAAACGAATTTGGCACGGTCAAACGAGAACTCGAGTTAACTGTCCAAGGTAGGTTTTCTGAATTATTCAGTTGCCTTTCATGAAGAACCTTCTCCCTAAAAATGGCATTTATTAATAGCCTATAGTTTTCTCTCGTGAGAATCCTGTTAGGGGATCCATGAATTTATTTGTGGCAAATTTCAACACCACTGTTTCAAAAATAACATCAAACTGGTCAATCAATGCCTAGCAAACGATTTTCAAACAAGACTAACAACAAAACCTAAGATTTATTAGCTAAATAATGGTGTATTATTTTTTTACAACATCTTGAGAACAAAAAAAACCTAAGGGAAAAGGTGTTGTGTACCATACAACGAAACGTACGGCTGGTACACTTGCATGGTATTTTATATGTCCTGTTTAATTAAAAGTCATTCGCATGCCTAACTTCAAGGCTTGAACAAATTATCTACGTTCAAAATTCACTTATTTGTGTCTTGTGCATTCTTTTCCGCACCTCAGGTTAAAATTCTCGAAAGCATTTTGTCTGAGTGAATGGTGAGGAATTTATTTGGGTACGTTTTTCATTCAATTTATTATCTTAATGATTTTGTTGGTGAATATTGTCACTTTACGGATGTCGCAACGTACTGTTGTTTAAAACTTTTTATGAAAAGGTGATTTGATAATTATATTTGTAGTTCTTTATGTAATCGAAATATATAATTGTTTTGCATACTATTTTTATTGTTTTTGACAAATTTTGGAGATTGATTTTTTTATAACTTTGTATTAGATATTATACAAATAATGAATGTTTATGAGTGCAATGGTAAAAATATTTTCACGAGGTGAAAGATGGAATGTTCCATTCAACGAGGCTATAGCCGAGTGAAAACATCTTTCATCTCACCAAGTGAAAATATTTTTAACATTGCACGAATGAAAACATTCATTATTTGTTTTATATAATACTAAAATAGACTGTCTCGTTTCAAAAATATAATTTATCAAAAAACGTGCTGTATGGATCAACAACCATACGTGCGAGAAGCATTTTGATGGATGGTATTTACTGAAAGCATGAAGAGTGCAATGGAACAAAATGTATAGTACAATTGCACTCTGGAGAGTGCAATGGAACGTTTTCCATTGCACTCTTGGGAAATGGGACTTACTCAATATCACGTGATCGTCATCAACCAATTAAACGCTTTAAATTTAATGGGGTATTATATATTATATAATAACGTAAAGAATTCAAGCAATTTCATTGGTCGAGAGCCATGATCTATAAGAGGACAGACGCATGGAATGACGTCACAGCAATTTTCTTTTTACCGGTTTAATTTTGGATTTTTTTCAGTTTTATTATATAAAACAAATAGATTACAATGAACCGTTGTCTGTTCAGTTATAGATACACGGTATGACGTCATATGTGATAAGAACAAAAGAGTGACCACTCGCCCCGGCGGCTCGTGGCCACTTTTTTTGTTCTTATCACATATGACATCATACCGTGTATCTATAACTGAACAGACAACGGTTCATTGTAATCTATTTGTTAAATAAATGATATAAGGTCATGATGTAAGTTTCATATAATTTCATCATAGTAAGAAAACTTACTAGATGCTGATTGGTCGAGAGGAGTACAATTATTTTTATAATTGTACTGTAATAAGTAGTGAGCAGTGATTTTGTCAAAATAAACAAAATGGCGAAGGTTATTTTTACCCCAGTTTTCCTATCATGTTTTTATCCCAAACCACCCAGTGTATTCCATTTTTTTTATTTCTGTTTTCTTGCTTCCTATGCTATTTTCTCTTGAGCTTCTATTTCGGCTGTCAATAATGACGGGTCCCTTGGAATTAATTATAAAAGCGAGGCAAGAAATATTGAAATAATTGCTATCGAAATATATTTGTTATATATTTGCTGTATTTATTTAATTGTATATATTTATATATTTATTTATTTATTCTTTAAAAGCTGTATTGTGTGTGGCAAATTAATTAAATTACATATGCATCGCCGAATAAGTTGGAGTTGTTTTACTTGACTTTTGTTTTCGGAAGCGCTACCTTTCTTAGTCGTGCAGGGATTGTAGAATACACAGCATATTGAAGTAATTAAATATCAAATTTCACCTGGAGTGAAGATTGCAACTACAACAACAACCAGCCTTCTTCCTGAAAGGATTGATTTATACGTATATACCAGGGCCAGCGTAGCATTCTTTCATCACAATACGAATCGCTTTGGTGGAAAGCACTTTGATATACCTGTTGCATTTGACGACTTCAAATTAAGCAGTGAAACGTCTTTAACTAGATATATAGGGTAAGTCAGACCTTCATAAATATAAAAAAGTCTCATTTGAAACATTTCAATGTATAATATCGGGTGTGCCAAAAATAAGTACTCCCGTTTAATTCAAAATAGCTTCTTTCAATCAAACAATTTTCATTACTTAGAGGAAATACTAGCTTAGATTTTGGGATGTTTCAATTCAAAATACGCAGTATAAATTCTCATGATGATTTATTGAAATATAAGTTAGGATAATGTCCAAATATTTCTTAAATGCTAGCAATGCTTCAGATATTATAACGAAACAAGACATGCAGCTTGCGTATTCAGATTCTCAAAAAATAAAGTGGCTAAGGGTTTAAATCTCTGCGTCAGGTTGTAATTTATTTAATCTGGTAATTTTAGATTTCGCTTCAGACGAGGCTTAGATAAGTGTCGGGATGCTTGTCAAATTTTGTCTCATTCTTTGCGGTTTGTTCTTCCTGGAAGTTGAATCATCAGGTAATCCACTTTATGGTTTATTTACACTGGTAAAATCTGTACGGGAAACAAACTGAATGAGAATTTCCCGAAGGCACTGCACGGACTTGAATTATTTTTAGTAAGCATCTTATATCAATTAATCTGTAGTGTAATCTAGTATATGAACAAACAATCCTCGGCTTTCTCTGTGAAACTGTACTCCATACATGTAAAAGTTCGTATTAATAGCGGTCCATTAAGTGTTATACCGTAAAAGCAAAGAGAATTATCAAAAAACCAGTACTGTTCAAAAGCTTAATAAGACAAATTTTGACAGGAACAAACATCTTGAAAATACATTAAACAGTTAATTCAATCCGGATTGATAACGAATTTCATTAACCAGCTAGGAATTCCCTTTACTTCAGGAGGAAAGCCGACGTTAGTTGACAAATCGACTGCTACTTACTTGGCGAAAGTTGGGGAAAAAATTCGTTTAAAATGCAATTTCAACCGCTGGGAGAATGGTTGGAAAATGACGTGGTACAAAGACGGCGCAGTTGTTCGGGTTCGAGGAAGGCCGAGGTTTAGAATGCGTAATGGGATGACGAGCATTTTGAGAATCCGTAACGTACGAAACCGCGACGCCGGAATGTACCAGTGTGTGGCTAGAAACAAATATGGCACAGAAAGTAAACAACTGAGTTTAACAGTCACAAGTGAGTTGCATGGTGATTTGTATGGTTATATGGTGAGTTGTGTGGTTGTATGATAAGTATGCGTGCATTGAAGGTTGTATAGTGAGTTGAATGGTTGTATTGAGAGTTGCATGGTTGTATTGTGAGCCGTATGGTCGTATTGTGAGTTGTATGGTTGTATTGTGAGTTGTATGGTTGTATGCATGGTGAGTGGTATGATGAGTTTTATGGTTGTATTGAGAGTTGTATGGTTGTATTAAGAGTTGTATGGTTGTATTGAGAGTTGAATGGTTGTATCGAGAGTTGTATGGTGAGTTGTATGGTGAGTTGTATGGTGAGTTGTATGGTTGAATTGAGAGTTGTATGATTATATGGTGAGTTGTATGGTGAGTTGTATGGTGAGTTGTATGGTTGTATGGTGAGTTGTATGGTGAGTTGTATGGTTATATGGTGAGTTGTGTGGTTGTATGGTACTTGTAGATGCTGTCAGGATGTTTCCTTTCACTGAGAAAGTTGACACGGATAGTGCACAGACCAATTTTTCCAGTATATAGCTGCGTTGCCCCATAAGACATGCTGAACTCATATGATGTTCAATATTCGTTTCATACTCCATCATTGAATATTTTTAGGTCAATTAAAACCGCGTGGTTTACCTGGACAAGGTTAGTACTGGGGTTAGCAAACGAGCAACTAAGTGATTGTGAAGGAAAGAATAAATTGACTTCATTTTAAATTTTATGCAGACTGTTGCAGTTAAATTTATCATGAAGACAGATGACTAATATTATTTATTCTTGTATTTTTGAAACGAAATATGCTATACACAGAATGCTGTAACCAAGATCACTTTATACGAAGACCTTTCTCAAAATTATAAGTGATGCGATTTATCATCTAGCTGCGACTGCCATGAATTGTTAGCATGAATTTATACATGTTTGCTTCTGTCTATCTTCACTTTCTCGAACAATTATAAAGCAAATTCCTGACTTATTTGATTATTAACTAGCATTGATATTATTCAAAAGCGTGCAAGTTTATCAGACCTTCCCTCGCGTAGGTCCACCGTGGTTCAAAAAGCTGATGCCACCGAAACAGTACATCGCCTGGCCAGCGTCGAATGATCTGAAATTGCGCTGTGCGGCTGACGGAGAACCTCCCTTGAAATATCAGTGGCTGAAGGACGGTAAAATCGTAACATATCGCCGCTTGGATCCAAAGTATGTCCTGGATTTATAAGTTTTCCTAAATATGGTATTCATTTTAGAGAAAGATAAGACTCGGTTGAGCTTTAAAATTGGCAGTGGACACCTTATGAGACGAAAGACTATCATATTCGTATATTTAATAATTATTCGCTTCGCCGAAGGCGAGATAGATAGACATCGCTGAGTAAAGTTGTTTTAGTATAATTACAAAGGTGATTCCTTCCTCTGTCACTTTTATAGAAACAACTTAGGTGATCATCGCATATTACTTATAGGTGGAGCAAAATTTTCAATAATCAATTTTCGAGTCAAGTGAAGAATGAAATAACAGTCGTTGTTTGGTGTTTGATTTTTTGTTTCTAAATTATTTCGCCAAAGGTTTAACGGTACAAAGTGGTATCTGAGGATCAAAACAGCCGTTCCATCCGACAACGGTCTGTACAAATGTATCGTGTCAAATAGGCTAGGGAATATATCATGTGAAACCAGACTTGCCGTAATAGGTGGGTAGATTTAATGGAGTGTGAACTAAATAATGTTGTTAATTTAATCTGCTTTCATAATGTTCAGTAGCGTAGCCAGCCTGTCGATTTGTCCCGCTATGCTAATATTTTCGTGTTCACGGACTGTGAAAACAATAGATTTCTAAAGACTTGAATTATTGTAATAACTTGAAATTTACATAGCGGGACAAAATCGTCAGGCTGGCTACGCCACTGATAATGTTGAGACTTTATAGCGAGTCCTTACCCAATGAGTTACTACATTTTCGCACCCCCCGTCCTCGCAAAAATGTTGTGTGTTTTTTTATAGAAAAGGGACCAATACGTCCAGTGTTGTCCAGTCGCTTCCCAGTCAACAAAACTGCCCGTGTTGGCGACAACGTGACATTTCAGTGTATAGAGCTCTTTGGTCCAATGTTGACTGACTATCGTTGGCTTCACTGGAAGAAACTGCCTCCTAGTTACCCGGAGTTGAAATTCGACGGAATACCCACCGCCAATTCGTCGTATTATACATTAATTAATCATCGACATTATAAAGCGTTTGAGGTCGACAAAAAGGACGGAAAATACGGGGGGAAAGTTTATTTGAATAATGTTACAAAAGAAGACGAAGGAATGTACACGTGTGTGATTTCAAATCATGTTGGACAGGGTATTAGAAGTGCATTCTTAAGAGTTAACGGAACAGGTTAATATACAATTTCTGTTCTACTCGTAATTAACACTGGGGCGCGGAAGAAGTTGCCCAAACTCAGCTTTTTTTGGATTGGTGGTCGTTATTTGGGTGGGAGTCATTGAATGGTTCATTAAATTTCTATTTCATTTATTTGTATTAGTTTCTTGTCGTAGAACTATGTTTAATCACTTCATATTTATCTGCAGAAATCCACGCTGGCAAACCAGAATTCGCACCCGATTCGTACGTGGCCGACATTGGCGGCACTGTCCGCCTGAAATGCGCCTTTACCGACTGGCGCGTCAAATGGGTGATGACCTGGTACAAACGTGGCCAAATTTTGCAACTTACGACCAACGGGCGGATCCGATCTCTCGTCGGAAAATCGTCGTTTCTCGTTATCAGACATGCGCAGAAGGATGACGCTGGTATATACGAATGTGTTGCGTCAAACGAATTTGGTACGGTCAAACGAAAACTCGAATTAACTGTCCGAGGTAGGTTTTCTGAAATATGCAGTTGCCTTTCATTACGGTCATTCATTATGGTAGTTTTACTGTAATGTCCTTCATGAAAAAATAATTTTAATGCATTGATATTGTTTACAATCATTTCAAAATTAAAAATAAATGCCCAGCAAACGATTTTTGGACAAGAGTCGAGCTGTAACAATACCTAAATTGTTTGGGCATTTCTTCGTTGAATATTGTTTACAGCAGTTGAAATAAGCAAACGAGAATAAGATGTTCTGGACACTGCAACGTTACTCTGTCTGTATTTGTAATTCGTTATGTCTTGTTTGAAAGTTATTTGCCTGCCTTCTAAGTTTTAATTTGCACGTTTACACGAAGGTCAAATGTCCTAACATATGTTCTAAACAATATTTTCCGCTTTAGGTTAAATTCTTGATAGCATTTCGTCCAAACGAATGGTGAGAAATTTGTGTGGGTACGTCTTATATTCCATTTTTATAATTTTAATTATTTCTGCTTGGGAAATTCATGTTACTAAACCTACTATCAGCATATAACAAAGACGTTTCAACAGAGGTTGTAACGTATTATTTTTTATAACTTTATAATATTATATAAAAAGGGGTTAAACGTGTAATCAAAATATATTATTGTTTTACGTAAATGAATGAAATACATGAATGTGTTTTAATCATGAGTATTACTTACTTAACCTGGGGCCGGTTGTATCAAGCCCGCGTTCAGCTTAAACGGCGGATAAGTGAAAATTAAATAACACTCTTACATCTGTCTTGAATGAGTCAACTTGAATATTATGCACTGAATACATATAGTTGTAAACAGTATCTTTGTATTAAGGTTAAAAATATTTAGTTCGCTTGTTGAATAAAACGGCAGACTTGTTTTCTATTTTGAACTTAACCACCGTTTAAGCTAAACGGGCTTGATACAACCGGCCCCAGACCAAGCCTTGAAACATTGTCGAAGCAATGAAATTTCATTGTTTTTGACAAACGTTGCAAGACTTTTTTACACAACTTTGTATGAAAGGGGTTTCAGAATTGAATTTTATTATTTTTCCATGACTAATGTATTCATATAACTTGTGTAAACAAGTTTCTTTTCTCGGGTTTAATATTAACAAGTTACAAAGACTATATGCACTTCTCAATCTATGCATGACGTGCGTGAATACACTAAATGTGTGTGATCTGGTAATACTCAAGTAGACAGGTCGCCCATTTCCTCTGCAAGAGTTTCCTGTCCAAAAAAACATTAAGCAATATTTGTTTGTAAACGAAGAGAATAATTGCTTAAACCGACCTTATTCGCATAGGAATAAAGCGGATAGCAACGTTGTTTTAAACCATCGATTACATGCCCTTGTCCTGTTAAATATTCTGCTCCTAAAACACGTTACATTTTGCCTCACCAAATGAAAGACTTTAACTAGAGGAAAGAGCCCTTGAAAGAACTTTTCATTATTGTTATCTTGATGTTACTTTGTTTTAAAGCACTCTCCGTGAGATCATTATATTAATAGCATGATAAATCATCTTTTTTAATGGAACTTTGGATGAAGGATTAACTGAAACATAACAAAAACGTGTCATTACTATGCAATATAGTTTTAAGTCGATGCAATTTATCTCTGGTCTGTTTAGGAAATGTTTTTCACTTTTCCTCTGTTTCTCATTTGAACTATAGTTTCTCTAAGCATAGTTTCTACTTTTATTTTCAAAGCCGCGGTCAGAATTGATCAACAAAACGCATGATCTAGCATCGTGTGTAAGTGAAGTGTCACATGAATTATTAAGTGACATATTAGAATGACAAGGACTATAGGCATATTTATTAGGGGATGCAAGGGCTTCGAGCGAACGACCAGCTCATACTTTCAGTAAATAGTTCTATTGTGTAGAAGGAGGCGTCTTAAATGCACATTTTTTCATTCTGTATTCGAGATCTATGCTTCAGGCGAACTTGTAATTCCTGAGAAGAATATAGGTGCATGAGTTTATCGCTTATATTGCAAGTTTTTTTTAATCTTTTAGTCTTTTGGATATAAAAACAACTATATGATATATACATTTAAATATATGATATTACAAGCATAAGAGGTTTGTGTTAGATGCAGTTTCAAATGGACAGCAAGCTATATTATAGATTATATATATAGGATATGATCTTTATGAAGATCTGGGGATATTTTTACTTCATAGTTTTTAGCAATAACAACCTCTGAACCTCTCATTTAATTGCTAAGAAACGTTCGTGTTTCAAATTTAAAATTGTTTCAGCTATATTTGTTTGTTTGCACGCTAATGACTTTGTGCTTGAACTAATGACAAAAGAGCGATACTGCATGGTTGGTTATTTAAATATCGTTAAAGACCCATATTCTGTAGAGACGACGAAAGTCTCCTATATAGGAATTATTTTTGAAGATTTGCATTTCATGACAAGAATTTGGCTATGAACGTGATCAACTTGAGGTATATATTCTTTCAAAAAAGTGTTTCTTATTTGATGCAAATTTTAAGCACTTGGTCGCTGCATGAAAAACACAACCAATTCATATCTTTACGATATTTGCTCTCGCGTGCCTAGGACAATAGCACAAAGCTCTTTTGGCAAAATTTCAGCGCATTTGCTAGACACAAAGCTTCGTAAAAGCACATCTTAAATTGTGCGAAATCCTTTACACGCAATACCTTCAGCTATAGCGAGTTCTGATTCGCGCTTGATGCATCAAATCTTTGCTGCCTATAGATATACATTTGTAATTACGACTAGTTTCAACTGGTGTTTCTGAAAGCGTTACATATTTGCTCTCAAGATCCGATTGACAATTGAAATAACTATTATACTTTTCAAGTGTTATGCATTAACAATTTTATTTCTTATGCTGTTTTCAATTCATCTCAGTTGAGAACATTTTCAAAAATCACATTGATTATGTGTGGCTGATGTATATTTTAAACAATAGTTAGATTAATCAGTCGTGATATGATGCGACCTAATTATCCAATGACAATGTTGTCACCATAGGAACTTGTCACAAGGTTGCTTTTCAGAGTAGAACAATTTCTTCCGTATTTGGGCAGCTGGTCAGCGCGGGGAATTGGGGCGAGGAGGCAGGTCAATGAAGAGCACCACGAACCATTTAATTAAAGTTTGTGACTCACAGCCGTCATAAATGAGTAGGTCACAATGAAACGTCTAATATATAAAATAAACAAGCTGAGTACTTTACCCAAATGTATACTAGACATTTCTGCGTTTGTGATTTTATTGGTCTTTACTACTTTTAATAAATTGTTTTTTTGAATTGAGTTCACGCGCATGTATGCAGTTCAACGAATATCTGCTCTCGAAGTGCATACTCTTGGCTTGTATAAATCGATTCGTATAGTTAAACTCGCTTGTAGTTAAATCCGTAGTTGAACTTGTTTTCAAATTCAATTGCATGTGAAATATAATGACCCGAATTATTCTCGAACATCGAAATCTCGGTAGATTCGACATAATTTTGGGTTGTTATTTCAAACTGATCTTTGCCTTGAGAAGAAAAAAACGTCTGAAGAATCACAGTTTTTCAAGGAGGCTAATTATATGATAATTTACGAATCAGTTTGAAAGACAATCGAATCTCAATCCGATAAATACAGTGTCAAAACATTGACGCTAATGTATTCTTGATGTAGTCTATTTACGGAAATAATTACCCTCATAATGGTCGTTGTCTCTGTGTGAAACTGGTACCATTATTGAATTCGAAAAAAGCAATGCCGTCACTGTGAGATATATTATGCTAAGCATGTAAACGCAATTAGTAAAGATTATTTGATAACACAAGGCAGAATCCTCGCCACGAAACGCACTTCCTTTTCTTGTTAATATGAATTAACCATCCATTAAGGCTTTTTGTTTATCATTTCTTGTTTATAAATAAATAACACGTAACTTTCAATCAATTTGACAAACCATGCAATGTCAACACAAAACAATATTATATACACGTGAACCGACCATTCAGGGATGGCAATGATCGACACAGCATGGTAACGTCGATATTCGATTTACTTTGAGCCATGAATATTAACCTTTGTCATCTCCGAATAATTGTTGCAATTCGCCACGCTTAAAGTGGTTAAACTCGTCGACAAAAGTCTGAAGAATATTTCACGAGAACAATGCATCTAGAAAATAAGTCGTTTTATCATTCATGCAGGCACTGCGCTGTGAATTGGTGGCAGGATTTTCAATCGTCTTAGGGACACTTTCGTTTAGGAAAATGTAGAGCTTTAATATATCCAATTAAGCGGCATTGCTTTCGGTAGATATTTCAAGTGTGTCAGTGATCACCATCCACCAATATCACAGTGCAGATCATATATTAAAATGAATATCACAGCGAAAGCCGTTTGCATGCAAAGAGCCATGCATTGCGAAATGATTTTCTAGCCAAATATTGTCCTACTCTTTTATATTATTTGAAGATTTCGTTGTGAGGTTTTTATCAATCCATTCGGCAATCAATCCATTCCATGCACAATCGTTTTCCGGTCCGGAGCTTATTTCATGCTTTGCAATAATAATAATTTCGGTTTTCGGAAGGCGCCTGTCTGCATTCATGTGCGAGTTTTTTCCATCAAACCGGGTTATTTTTATATAGGACCGCTGGCTACTGAACAATATTTACGCTCAGAATTACTTGTCGGAATATAATCGTTAAATCCTGTGCCACACGACACGCAGCATTCAGCCACGATTTGGTTGAATTGTTTAACAAGTAAACATGTTACCTTAGAACTTTAACTATCAGTTTGAACCCGTATATATGGACAAATAAATTACGCCGTCACATCGACTATATACCTGTGATTATATAGTGTGATACTTGCTTTGAAACAAAAGCCATATATATGAAATCAAATCATGAAAAAAAATTCCTTTCAAGTTTCATTGCTATACAATATAAGTTGATCGAGACGTTTTGCTTTCCACTGTTTGTCGGCTAACTCAGTGAATGACTCTATCATTTGAAATGCACATTTTCACTTTAATTCCGACTCGCATAAAGGTTTTCAGTATGTTTAAAACAAACCCTTAACTAACTTCCCTCTTTTTGAAATCAGCTTTTGAATTCTTTCCGTCCGGTGCGTGCAATTAATCTCGTAATATACACGAAGCAGATCTATGCAAACTACCTCGACACAAAAAAGAAATTATAGAGAGCAATTGCGAGGCGTTTTGTAATATTTTTAGATCGTGCAGGAAGGTTTTGCACGCGTGACTAGGAAAACAAAGCTAGCTCATTCCAAGAGACCTTTTGTGTGCAAATCTGTGTCTAAAACGGGCTTCGATATCTGGCAATGGTGTAAGGTCGATATTGATATGGTACTTGAGTGTTATTATGTTCGTAACTTCGAACTGTCACCTCTATGGTCTGTTCGGCATTTGACGGTAATAACTTCCTAAGTAGCAAAACAAACCATCAGAGGCGCCATCTTTTCATTATCCATCCGACCTTCTTCTGTAACGAAACAGAGAACGTTTGCGCTTGGAGATATTCACTCCATTTTGAATCAACTTTGAAGACTTTCATCGTTTTCTTCAGACATAAGGTATACATATATATAAATATATAGTTCAAAAATAGTTTTATAGCACTCGTTATTAGCTAAAGTTGAACTTTTTTAGCTTTGTTGAAATGCTATAAATCGGTTTCTTCAAACCCATCAAGTCCTATTTCATGTATTTTGTACTAAAAAACCGCCACGTACGTTCATGATTGATATATGATAGGGATCTTCCAGGTTGTATAATAAATAACCTTTCACTCACGCCGCGTGCAAGCCGTTCCCGGGCAGGGTTTTGATCACAATAATTCCATGACCTGGCTGTAATGATATAATGAATTGTTCCGGTATATATATACTCGGGGGTTGAAGGTTATTGTGGTATCTAGCGATCAGAACACTAGTGCACTGCCAGAATTGATTTAAGGACAGCTAGGAGCTGGTTGTATATCAATCCCGTTTAGCTTAAACGGTGGTTAAGTTCAAAATAGACAAGTCTATCGTTTTACTCAACTTTAATACAAAGATACTGTCTACAACTACAGTGCATAATATTCAAGTTGACTCATTCAAGAGAGATGTAAGACTGTTATTTAAATTTTACTTATCCACCGTTTAAGCTAAACGGGCTTGATACAAGGTCCCCAGGACTATTGTGTGTATTTTCCTTCATTCTCCTATGTTCGGCTTGAAAAAGCAAGTGAATGCAATGATGAATCATAGCACACTTATCGCCCAGAGAATAGTTAGTATAGCTATATTGTGACAAAGCAATAAGCGAAATGTCCCAACAATGAATCGATCAAGTCATCCACCGGCCTTTAGGAAAAAACGAGTTCTTAAAAATACAGCTCTCTATAGCCTTATAAAGAAGGAAGCAATTATGATAATGCATTCACAGAATTTGTATATTATAGTTCCAATGTTTATGATTATATAAACTTTCATTTTTTTTAATGTACCAATGATGATTATAGCTATGATTAGATTACAGCCTACAGCTCAAATAATTTCTGATATCGATCTATTTCGCGCTCGCCAAAGTTATTTTGAAATAAAGCATGAATGTGCGTTTTCATTTCAAATTAGATCATCTTTCAAATGACAGGGCTCGTAAATTACCGAAAGACTATATCAGTCTCTATATTTTTGATGAGTATTGCATGCCTATATACACGTTAAGCTCCTGGCATTTCAAAGTTTGCTCACAGAAACAGCATAATCGCGATAAACATGCAAGCACTACCCAGAAACATACTAAAAACCTTTCAACGGTCCAGGAGAAAATGTCCTTCCTACTGGAAATAGTATACGGCTATTTATATCTAAAACCTTTTTCACTCAAAACCAAGACTCCTAGACGGTCTAAAATACATGGGTATATTCTGGGAATTTATTTCATCCAATCTTGTATGTATATAGCATGCAGTAAACCACTTAAAAGAAATTTATGAACTGATAATGTTTTCAAATGCAAAAGCAATGCAAAACCATGAACTGCGAGGTCTGGCTTTCGTCAGGCGCAGTTTGACATACGAGACACTGTACTCAGACAAACACTGACGTGCTGGTTTGTTTAAATCATCAATACGATCATCGTTTATGAACCTCATCAATTGTAAATATTTTTTGTCCGCTATAAGTTGCGTAACGTTTTAAAAATAAGTCTATCAAAGTATGTCCGGTTCTAAGTTTATGCATTACATACATCGGGTGATTCAAGACTTTGAAAGCAGTAAAACTACCGCAGATTTGCTTGGTTTTGGTGAGTTTGTGCTTTCATAAAGACAACTCCTTGCCCCTTAGCATTTATGCACTTGTTTCCGTTATATATTTTGGTTTATTTTTAGTCAATCATCTCGTATAGCTCATTTATTGCGAGTAAATTAGTTTTATCGTTTATAACATACAGTAGCGTAGACAGCCTGACGGTCGATTTTTCCTGCTCTGTAAATTTCGAGTTTATAATTATAATAATTATTCGCATCTTTAGAAATTTTTTGTTTTCACAAGTCAACGAACATCAAAATATTAGCATTGCGCCGGGGCAAATCGTCAGGCTGGCTACGCTACTGATAACATATCATATTTTATACATAACAATGATAACATGCATATCTCGGAGTATAGCTAAATATTGAAAGTTATATAAATCGAATAGAAATTTTGGTGGAGATATGGTAATATCCTTACCATACTGGAATGCTATTCCGAACATGCGTGGATGTGCGAGTAATATGTGGTTTGGTTTTTTCTATTATTTGTTTATTTTGCCCTATCGTAAAACATTGGATATATTTAATATGCTATATTGTTCCCGAAGATCTTGTTTATTTGCTGCTCGCCCTCACAAATAGACAAGGAGCTCCCTTTCTTCTGGCTTTTAGGACAGGAAAGACCGTAGGATTAATTGAGATGGATTTACGTAATCAAGACGATCTCAAAAGTTCTTTGATAGCATTGTCATGACATACACTTATTAAAAGCACAAATATGCAAATATAGTTATTGTTTTTCTGCATGTAGTGGGATATATATATATGGTTTCATTCTTGTCCTAATTTGAAGAATTTGGTTCATCCTTAGTTGAAACGCCGTAGGTCCATTGCAAGCTAACGTCTGGAACTCATCATGAAACAAACTTGGAACGAATAGCTTTGAATATAAGCGTCTTGTATTCGCTCCAAATTAGTGCTAAATTAACATTTTTGTAGTCATGACAAACCAGTAATTTGGTGCAAATATTTCGCATTTAAAACTCTTGTCTTCCGTATGAAACGTAAGTTTTTATTGTGGTTGAAAATATAGATTTGCAAAACAGGCTATGGCGTAGCCGCTATCGTAATTATGAATCCATGAATCATGATTTGCAATCATTTAGTTCCACCATGCATTGTTACAATGGTGTAGGTATATTTTGAAAGAGTTGCTAAAAACGAAACACTATACTCAATGAACTATACAAGAGAAACATTCTCTGGAAAGAGCTGAATCCTGTCAAACCAAGATTTGAGCTTTAAAGCAAGACTTCACGTTTATACTGGTGATTTTTTGACATCATCGGCAAAGTCGTTACCAACCAAGCGACGGTTATTCAAAGTTAGCAAAGGCGTTTAGCTTAAACGGTGAATAAGCCAAAGTTCAATAAATAGCTAGGTTCCATTTTGGAAAACGTATATCTGCCGGTTTAAGCTAAACGCTGGCTTTCAAACAAACTGGCTCCGGAATAATGACATTTGTGTTTTAAAACCTAAATCTTTAGTATCGAAGACGATGTCCTGCACTGAACTAAATTTTTCTTTTGTCTGGTGTATTGCAGCGCATGCCTTATGGAGTACGTTTTCAAGTGTAACCCATTTTACTTGGCTATGGCATACAGTACAGCAATCAAATTGTGTCAATACGATTTCGTAAATAACTTCTTTATATTTCTTTTTTTAATAATCTTAAATCTACGGCAATTTGAACAAAACACAGGAACACGGAAAAACTTGAACTGCGTCACAGCCCGACGTGAGAGTCCCATCCATTGATTTACAAATGAAGTGTTTGTCAGTCATGATCGAAAGCTGCCGTCTTAAAAATAGATTGTAGGCATTGCTTTGATAGTATTCTTGTTCACAACACAGCTGACTTCGCCTCCAGCAGTATTATCATTATATATAGGCTGAGCAACCGCGTAATTTGAACCGGGATTATTCGGAAAAACAAACGCATCCTGTACTTGTGAAACGTCGAAACCGCTCGAGTTCAGCAATTCTTCTTTATGAGTAAGTTTATTTGTTTTATTCACAGAAAACTGATGCATCTATGCACGTATTCTGGTACAGTATACTGTCTGTATCGATTGAATCGTGCTAAACTGAGTGTGTAAACTATTCAATTGAATGCAAAAACAGTCTTGCGGCAATACTTTTGAGTCAGTGTGTTTTGACTAATGTGCTATATTACGAGTTCACGATTGTTTCAGATAATGGGAATATGTTTTGAATTTTGATTATATGTAATCTAGCAACTAGTATACGTGTTATTTGCTGAAAAATCCTAGGCCAAATGCGTATGTATCGATCCGTTATTAAACTTGATAAATTGTGAACTGTTCTTTGAAGCTTGAAACGCTTACGAGACAAGAATGAAAGTACTATGGCGTGCAATTTGTTCACAATTTGTTATGAACAGTTTATATTCTATTATTGTCTAGCTTGTTCGACTTGTTTTTGTCAGATTGCCGGAATTAATAAATAGACCATTTATTTGTAATAACCCCTAGCGTTGTTGTTCCAGTTGTGCTATTAAAAGTGACGGAAATCTTTGCACATTTCATGTTTTAGCAAAAACAATGAAAAAAAACCAGGAAAACAGTTATATTTAGCGGCACTGTGGCGCTACAAATGTCGTGTCATGGCTATGGAGGCGTAGGATATATAGTGTAGTGTACTAACCCTAAGTGTGAGGTCTTTCTTATCGATTCAAACGCTATCATGACTCTGAAAATCACAGAAACACATTAATTATTATCAAATTATACATTAATTAAATTATTGACAGAGCCACAGCTGTCCGGCTTGGCAACACGGCCCAAATTTGCCCGCAACTGGTGTGTACGCCTGCTTTTAATCTCCGGCATTCGTGATCATGACGTCACGGGCCTGTCAATAACCATCAAACGACGGGTGTCAAATGCCTGAGTTGGCGGCCCGCTGTGTGTTAATTTTACAAGCTTGATGTCGCTATTTTGTACACAAGTAAATGGCCACGGTGAGCTTCGGGTCAAACGGCTTTCATTAAACGTTTTGTTTGTGACTCCGAGTACGAAAGTGCAATATATACACACGGAAGATAAAACTCGTCGCTGTTAGCTTGGCGCTTCCTTGAAACAATCGTGATTTATCGATCGGGGCTATCTTTGCATGGTTCGTGCTTATTGATACATAGGGAATTTGTTATCGCATCACAAGTCAAAAGTGCTAAGTCACTCAGTGAACTGATTGTGTACATGTATGGTGTGATTCTACCTAACACTTTCTCTGCACAAGACTCACGGAACATCGAAAGGTTTGTATATATAGCTGATCATTTCTTCGTTAAAGCCCATCGCTTGAGTGTGTTATTTGTGAGTTATATGGGGGATAATTACACGGGGGTCATTAAATGTAAGATGCTATTAAGCTTATAATATAGGGATGTTATTGTGTATGATACGCTGTAGCAAGAAATTTCTCCATGTGATATGCCGTGCTAACTGGAATCCTCTCAAAATTTACGTGATATGTACGAATTACTAGGTTTTGAGCAAATTCAGCATCGCGTGGTAGTTGGTACTCATATCATCGGCTCAATCTTTACTTCCATTCGCGACACACCGGCTTTTTGGCATAACAACGAACTTTGTGTTTATTCTTTTGACCCCCGCGCGAATAAAGGAAGACTTTAAGTTCTTTTAACTGCAAAACACATCATAATAAACAAAGTCATTTGGCGAATGATTGTTTAAAAGTTTGAACACATATGAGATAACTCCGTGCAGGTCATCGCCTTTCAACGCTTATGACTTCTATTTTTATAGCGCGCTCATCGTGTCAAGAAAAACGCTAAGATACTAAATATTTGCAATATATTTAGCACTTCAATATAGACTTGTTAACGGGATATCTTACTCGGCTACATAGTCACTATAAGGAACACAATGAGACTTCATTTAAGAATTCTAGAAAACCTTATCTTGCCATCTTTTAACCCAGTTCACAAATACTATACATGCTTTGACATGCTTGCTATAAAATTTTAACCGCGCGCCGTGGTTTCCATTACGACTAAAAACTCGCATTTGATCTTGGCCTTTGGCAAAGCACGCCAGCCGGACAGGTTTCGACTCGAATTTTAAGCTTTCAATAATCTTTGTCTTAACACGTTAACACCAAATGTTTCATTTATCTTACGTTGTACGATACTTTATTTATCTTATTTCGTCACATCGGAGTCTACAAGGCTACGAGTGAGAAACACATGTTTTTAAACTTTTATAAAACGCGAGTTGGACAATCGTAGCGTGCCCAGACGGGTGTTTGGTGTGCAAAGCTACAAGGCTATTACATAAATCACCATACAATAGATATTCTAAGGAATGCCTATACGGTGTCGTACGAGCGTCGATTTGAAAGAGAGATGCGGTAATTTTCGAGATTGATTAGAATGTAATAGGTGTTTTTTTGAAGAAGCTAGTTACTTTCAACAATGTTGCATAGCAGAGGTGTTTCAAAACTGATCGAGTATCTTCGCTTTCTTTAGACCGCGTGGGGTTGCGACGCCATCCTTGTAGACAATAATGTCCCACAGCCTGGCTTAACAAATTTCAGTTCAATTCCCATTACACCGTCATCGCAAAAACCAATCAAGAAAGATGAAGAGCGTCGTAATTACGCTAGCCATAATCGTTTGCTGTTACCTACAGACGATGCGCTGTTCAGGTAAGCATTTTTAATGGTATATGTCCTAGCTACTTTCTCTAAGCTTACGTTCAGATGAATCAGGATTCGCTTCGCTTCCTTCGCTCAGTTTGAATTGTCGAAAGGAATGCGCAATTATTAATCACTACTTGATCTCAATACAAATATACACCCAGCGATATCACTCATACATTAGAACTATTCAGTTCTTGGCGCCTGGGTTATGAAAAGAGTAAATGATTTAAGACTCTTTATTGCTATTGGCAAAAGGCTAATATTAATTCCATTAAACTTCGAAAGAGAGAGAGGACTTAGTGTTTAAAATGATCCCACGATGAACTTGACACCTACGGTCCCCTGTTAGTTTGTTTATAGCTTACGACGAGCATAAACAATCGTATTAAAAGCAGCAACTCTTGTGGTAGGCGTAGAGTGGTTATTTGTTGAATATCGTGTCTCAAAACAACACCATTAAACTTCGGAAATGCGCGAAAGTGCGCCGGAGATTGGTGTAAGATCTGAACAACATGATGTGAGACTCGCATAGATCTTCAGTCGCACGCATTGGCCTGAACAAACGCATTGACAAGCGTTAATTGGCCTTCGTCCATTGAATCTGTTGCAACCTGCCGAGCTAATGGATAGGTTCAAATTAGGAAATATTTTATTTAACATCGCGTTTTAAGAACATGTTATTGAAATGATTACGGCGCCGATGGGAAGCTTCCAAACACGGTGTGCCAAAACGTGCAATTTTCATTAGAAATAACAGACATTTTTTTGAAATCAAAATATCGGCTCAGATTCGAGAGAGATCTTAGGTCTATTCCCCATCATATCGCACGGAGATAATTTAAGGCCGGATTTGTACGGGCACATGGCTTTATAAGAGATAAATCTTTTGTATAACGCTCAAATGGGTAACAATAGCTAATGATACGAAACAATATATCGATAACACTTAAACGTCACATATAACACAGGAAGCTGGAATCTCTCTTGTGTCTAAAAGATTTCAACACCGTATTATACAACTCAAAATAAGCTATACTTGAAGATTTAGCAATTAGGAAGACAGAAGACATTCTTTTTATGCCAGATTTTTTGGCCGGGCAAAAGATATTATGTTATGTATGCTGTTGCATGCAGTGGTTTTGAAGTTTATAAAGTTATGTACATTATAGTGATTGTACATGCATATTGTTAAATCCAGTGAGACAGCACGATCTTTACTCACGAACTGAACAGTTTAACGTTGCGTGTATATATTACTCTAAAAAGATCATCCGTGAATCTCATATATAGATGCATCTATATAACATACAATATCAAGCAACCAATATTTGATAACTTGCAGATTACGTATATAAAAATCTCCTAAGAACCAATGATCTTTTCAGATAGATATCTTAAAGAGTATTTTTAACTACCAAAGCCAATATATGATACTATATATGTATGATGCTTTATGTATATTTATATACCACGCCAATATATGTTTAGAATCATATATCCAAGTGGTGCGCACGATATACCGGAGTATATATACCTCATAGAGCTAATAAGGACAAGATTCAACAAAATTTGGTTTAGTTGTGGGCCTGGTTTTAAGATTTTATTCACTACAAACGTATTTCGCTTGACAAGAAGTGCTTGCCACACTCATAGGACAGTCATGCTTTAATATATCGCTACGAACCCAAAAATATAAAAAAAATATCTGCAAATATTTTTACGGAAGCATATAATCCGACCAAAATTTCTTTTCATATATGCCTGTGCACATCTGCTAAATTACCATTATTCTTAATTAAAAAACTTTTTAAAGGTCTGAGAGTTGCTGCATTATGGTTGGCATAAGATTGGATTAACTACTTCAAATAAGTCGATTATATTCCGCCAGAGTATATATACTATGGCCTTTCTTAACTTCAGACCGTTTCGTATTATATTTTGTTCACAAATTATTGTCTAATGCGGGGTATCGTTTGGTCAGCTTTCCAATATTTGGCAAATTCTGGACAACCATATGTCAGTTAATCAGGAAGGAATCGTTGCTATGTAGGAAATGGAAATATGATAAATTTTATCGCGTTTCTGTCTTTATTTGATTCGTGCGGTTTTTCGCCCGGAGCAATGAACCTTCAATAAGGCAATAAATTCAAATGTCAAACTGGTATCTCTCATAAGCAGCTTACTGATTAATGCGAATCAAATGGAATAGCAAGGTAATAAACTAGCTAGACAATAGGTTTCTCGATTTGAAAATCCCTTTTTTAACTTAGAATATGCACATAGCCGCGCTCTTGTGTTTCCCACACGGTGGGAAAATATGACACGGATATCGATTTTCAATCATTCAAGATTAGGCACATAATTCATGTAAGTTTTTTTTTTAAAACTTGTTAAATCAAGCTAAGCTTTGCCGCATCGCCGTACGAACCCTTTGCGAACTACCGTGAACCGGATTTGAGTTTAAACTTTAGTTGAAAATATTTTAAAATCATATTGCCTATACACTTTATTAATTAATTAGACGACTGAGCTTGCCTTCCACTTCATAAAGTGTTGGAGGTGTTGAAAGATTGTAACCGCTGCCCACACCTCTACTCTGTCGGGTTGACACATTGCGTCACGTTTTTCCCTAATCAATCAACGGCTGGGCACCAGCCCTAAAGAAACATCACAGCAATGCGGGGATCCCTGATGCACGAGGTTGATAAGCCATGACCGCAATGAGCAAACAGGAATTCTCATAACACGGGCCACATTTTTAGGAACTTTTTTTACCCTAAAACGTGCTTGTCCCCTCGCATTTACGACTCAAAATTTTCATTGGCTTAGCTTTCAAGACTTAGAAATTCCACGCCTATATAGCTGAAATCTAAAAGCTCTTTCACACCGAATGCTAATAAGTGGGAGATCTCGACCATTTCGAGACGATTCTGCATGTGACAGTATTTACTTTGTATCTTATTGCTAGCCTTTGATTAGAAAAAAAATATATTCCTGATCACCAAACTGCTGTTTTTTTTGTGACAGACTGAATGAGTATGATATTAAGCTTCTGTATTACAATGAATATAGTCCACATCTGTGGACGAAACCAGAAAAAAAATTGTGAAAAAACAGTCTTTAAAAATGTCTAACATTTCTAAAGACAACAATAGAATGAGGGATGTTAGAAATCCCAGCAACTTCTGTGGCTTGTTTAATCCTTGTATAAGAATCATTAAACGAAAAATCATACGAGGGACAAACAGCGACCGCACGAGCTTTGAAGTAACCACGCAAAACGCCTTTCTCAAAGCCGACAATGCGATCCATCCCAAAAATGAGTTGGCGTTCGGATTAAGTCATCGAGTAGTTCGATATTTTGTTTGAAAATATATACCCTCGTTGTGAAAAAAACAATCGTATTATCTTCCATTAAAGTGTCGTGTTTCTACAAAAATAGCGTGAGTTTGCTACGTGCATTTTCAAACGACGACCTTTGGCTTTTGTATAAAAATAATTTGTATGTTTGTTATTTTATACACTGGGCGCTTCCCTTGCGGTCGGGAGCCAGGCCAAAGGCACGCGGTTGTAATGTACACCGCGCCATTGTCATTTCCGTTTTAAACAACACATGACTAGCTTGCTTAATGTTTAACATCCATAAGTGTATCTAAACATGTCGCGAGAAGGCAAATTCGTAAACAGCAATGGCAGGGGGTTTCCGCTAACTAAAATACTGCAACAATAAAACGTTTTCGACTTTTCAAAGCGAACCTTTTAGGGGCAAATTTTTTTCAATCGAAGAGATTACCAAATTCATCGAGGCGATCAGCGATGACGATAAATTATTCTCCTGACAAATAGTTAATCTTTTTTGCACACAAGCGAGGATCCTAATTTTCGCGTCTTAATCGAATATTCTTGTTGCTATACCATACAGCGGAAGCAAATAGATTTGTGGGAGCAAATAGATTTCAGGGGATCAATATCGATCAAAATTGCGAGCACGAACCCTGGCTGATTTTCGGACAGTTCTATATACATGGAATTTCGGATCATATGTGGTGTAAAATTGCCGAAAATATAGACGAAATTTCTAACTCTCCTGACAAAGACCCTATATAGCTCAGGTCGAAGCGTTTTAGTCAATTTTATAGGCAGTTGTTTTAGACCTACCACAGTCTTTCCATTAAAAAAATCTTTCCATTAAACGAGCGACACGTCACATGGAGATGTCAAAAACGAGTTTGATATACTCTTTGAGCTTTCAGATAAGATCATTTGAAGGCCGTCCTTACAAGTACAGCACTCCGTTCAGTTCCAACTTTTACAAGGGTACTTTAAAATGATACTTGATAGCGCATACGCTAAAAGGTTCTATAGTCTAAAAAAACTACTTGAAAATAATACTTTGTCTTCCATTGCCATTGTATATGTCTGGTAAGGAAACGGCTGGAGTCATATGTTGTCTGAAAGATGAGAGTCTGTTTCAGTCGGTTGAATGAATGCCCTATGCTCTCTAGGTTTATCTTCACGAATACGAATTTGCTTTTGTTTCAATAACTAAGGGAAATTTTATCGCAAAGGCCTTATTCTTTTTGCTCAAAGAGTTCACCATTTTTTCATAGTTTCAAATTTATGCTATGATTTCTAGTTTCGAACTTGTAAGACTCTGTGCGAATTTTTCTGCTAAATTTTAAAAAAAATTGGGCTGATGAAAAAATTCTCACTTGCTAATTCATCTCTGATAAGGATCAGGGCGTGCCTAGTCTATTCTTAGCGATGATATATGCTCGTTTAATGGAAAGATTTTTTTTACATCTCCTCAGAATACAAAAACGACTTCTAACTTTCATACGTTATCTTAACCTTTGATACATAAAGGCACGTTTACATTTTTGCTGCGATCTCATGGGCGATTTTCTTCTTTTGATAGATGTGAACGAGTGAATTAGTTACTGATGTTCAATTAAGAGCTCTTATACATCAGAGCATTCGTAACTAATTACTCGTTCACATCTATTAAAAGACGAAAATCGCACATCACAAAGTCGCAACCAAGTGTAAACGGGCCTGCTTCCCTAATAACCCCCCCCCTGTTTTGCGCACTTTCACGAAATAATGTCAGGGGGTTAGTAATTTTTTATTTACTTTTAGCATCCGCGCCACCGTTCTTCCAGAGTGACGTGTCAAACGCAACCGTTGTGCTCGGCGAATCAGAAGTCAAGCTTTCCTGTCGCGTGATCGCTGACGTAAATACGCAATATTGGTGGACAAAAGGCGGGAAACGGATAACGAAACGAAAGAGATATCGAATCAAGAAATTCCGTTATTTGAGGATAAAAAATGTGAAGAATTCCGACGCCGGAGAGTACGTTTGTCGGGCGAAAAATAATGGTGGAGAAATTCAGCAAACGATTACTTTAATTGTTGAAGGTTAGATTAAATAATGTATCTTAGGGGCTGTTTACATGAGCCCGGTTACCCGAGATTCAACGAAGCGTGAGAGGACTTTGAGGTATTGAAATAAGTCTTTATGACACCAAACAAGCACATGATATTGTTGTGGTGATTATACGACGGCCAGGATCATATTATCTGCTCATTTCAATACCTCAAAATCATCTCACGCTTCGATGAATCTCGGGTAACCGGGCTCATGTAAACAGCCCCTTAAACTCATATTTGGTAGACTTCTCGCAATCACAAATGAAAAATGATATGGAAACACCCTATATACATTGGAACTTGTCTCGAAAGTCCTCATATATCGTAAACGTATATTTGAAGTTTTTCATAGGGAACACGCTATAAAACTCCTTTGTTATCTAAACCGACATTCACTTTTTACAAATCGACAACTCGGATCATTTCCCCCTTACTAATCGTAATTTCATATTCTTTATAGATCCAGCCGGAAATTTAACTGAAGGTTAGAATTACATATATTAATTCCCCCATTAGGGCAGGCTCATATGGTCAGTGGATGTCTCAATCATGCATGAAGCTTTTATACTTTTAGTATTTTTATATTAGAAGTATTTTTATATAAGAAATTTTATACTTGAAGTGTGAAAAGGTCAAAAAGCGTGGTTTTAAAACACGATTTTTGAATCATGACGAAAATTTCTTTTCCCAAACGTTTAGATCGAAAACCGTTTTTCACGCAACCAAAGAAGATGACGAAAAAGATGATAATAATCCCAGCTGGTAACAAATTCAAAATCACATGTTCGGCTTCAGGCAGACCATCGCCAACAGTCTCCTGGTACAAAAATGGTAAACAGCTTAAACTAATGCCCGATGGTTCAACGGCGATAAAATCAAATGATTTTGTCTTAAACTTCGATTCACTGCGACCAAAAGACGATGGAGAATACACGTGCTTCGTTTCAAACAAACTTGGAAATGTTAGCGCGTCATTTGACCTGACAGTCAAAGGTAGGATCGTGGTATTTTCTTTCTGATTTCCAACACAATTAACGGGGTGATCTTAACGTGCGATACTAACTTCTGATATTTTTTTCATGTTTCCCACTAGAAATAATACTCGCAAAACCAGTGTTGCAAAAAATGAAAAATAAAACTGCGTATGAGGGAGACGATGTGACACTCACTTGTAGTGCATTCAGCGATGCTTTGCCTCATTTTCAATGGATAGTAAAGAATCCAAAAAAGAACAATTCGATTGAAGTTTTAAACCCCGGACTTGAGCAAGACGACTACATTTGTGAAGGAGAAAAAGAGCGATGGCACTGCGTGAAATTGCTACTCCGTAACGTGTCACGAAAGGATGAAAGGCAGTATTACTGTATGGCAGGGGATGAACGGGGATGGAGCAAGGAGACGGTGTGGCTAAAAGTGTTGCCAAGACCAGTTACTACCGAGGGTGAGTCGTGTGGAACAACATTATGACAAAGAAAAGAGTATAGGCTTGGCCTCTTCGTAGCTTTGAATTAGTAAATTGATTTTACCACAGCTATTCGGAATTTTTCGATGGAACGAAATTTTATTTTTCGCTCGATTTTCTTTTCATTTGTGACCGGTGAAGAGAATCTGCTACGGTCGAATTCCCACAATTGGAAAGAATATCAGACGAAAAATTTCGTTCGTTCGAAAAATTCCGCCTAGTGTGCCAAGTAGTGGAAAACGGCCCTTAATCGTAGTGGGGTGGAAAGTTTGTTTTCTTTATTTCCAACGCAAGTAACATTCCTTTTCAGCGACATCGGTTAAAGTGCGTAACAAGAGACCATATTATAACTCAGAGAAGACATCAGGGAACTCGATGACACAAGTCATCGCCATCACTGTTTCGGTGGTCGTTGTAGCAATTGCAATTGGCTCTGTGATCGCGTATCTATGTATTTTCAAACGAGGAATGTTCAGGCAGAAAGCACGCGTCATCGAAAGTTACGGCGCACCTCCGTATCCTGAAAAACGTCGCGATGTATTGAGTTCTACGTCGTCGTCCATGTCCAACTGTTCAACAAATCCTTTGCTTGCACACCACGGAATGAGATACTTGAAGCGGCAGAACTCCGGTCTTTCTCATGTAAGTTATAGCTATCGTGAAAATATGTGCAAGAAATACGCGTTTCTTTGTGATTATTATATTTGTGACGCTTCTTCTGACATTTGCGACAAAAGCATTTCCGAAAAGCTTCACCTTTTGGACTTGTTAAAGTTGCATCAATCGCGTGCGTATTGTCGGTAGTCAGATTCAGGTTTGACCCGCACTATCGCTACAAACGCTACTCCTATACGTTTAGGAAAACATCAACAAATCAAATACGAAAACTCCATTAGATTAACCAATCACAAACGCTATAGGTCAACAAGGTCTAGGTAGTGGAACTTCAATATGAACCTTCGTGATATAGCGTAAAAACGTCCCAACAAACTACCAGTATATTAGTTTCATTCCAATGTTTTGGAACAGTGCTTTATGATGGAAACCCATTTGCTCGTTGTTAAAACTTTGATTTCGGTGAATGCATGTGTTTTCTCTCAAACGCAGGTCAGCGAGATGGTGTTATACTGTGACGCAGAGTGGGAAGTCGATCGGGAAAACCTGAAACTTCTCGAAGTGATCGGTGAAGGAGCTTTTGGCAAAGTTTTAAAAGCGGAAGCATTTGGTTTGAATCGACAAAACGCCGGAAAGAATATCGTTGCCGTGAAAACCTTAAAAGGCAAGTCAACATTTTGCGACAAAACTAAGCTAGGATATATAGCTAAGTGCGGTTAAACTTTATCAATGAAGATTCGATTGTTCTGTGCCATGGTCAGCTTGAATTCTGCCTTATTAATATCTAAAAAATCTTTATTAGACGATGCAACTGAGGCAGAATTATTGGATCTTGTTTCTGAGATGGAAGTGATGAAGACGATTGGGAGACATAAAAATATCATCAACGTCATCGGATGTTGCACGCAGAATGGTAAAAACTTTAATTCTTGGATAGAACACCGGCATATAGAACGGGTAGTTTGCTTACGGGGCACCTATGTATAAGCGCCCTGGGAAAAAGCCACGGTTAGAGCTTTGAAACGAGACAGGTTTGACTGATGATTCAAAACACCCGTCAAAAGACAGTCATTTCTGGTTCGACAATTACCTAATTTGAGTTGAGTTAAAATATCACCTTAAACTTTCTGTCTTGTTTTAAAGATAAAATCTTGGCCTTTCAAAGTGTTTTACTTCGGCGCATGTTCCCTTACTCCGAATTTACTAAATCGTCTCTCTCAGAAATTGAGCAGGGTTCGAGTTGATGTTGTGATCTCAAAAAAGTTGACTTGGATTTGTGAAGAACGTATATTTGCTTCTCTATTTACTGATGATGTACGAACGATTTCTGCTTTCCAGGACCACTGCTTGTTGTGGTAGAGTACGCACCATATGGTAATCTGAGAGAATATCTTCGTGAAAGAAGACCCAATCGTAACGGTTTAACAAATCCAATCGAAGGAGAGGAGAAATTAATTTTGCGAGATTTCGTTTCGTTCAGTTATCAAATAGCCCGAGGAATGGAATATCTGTCGACTAAAAAGGTAAGCATGTTTGCCAATGTGTACGATCAAGAAAACTAAAATCCATTTCTCGGTTGAAACAAGTTAATATCTTTTGAAATATTCTTTATTTCGGTTTCAAATTCATGCCAGAGCTATAGTTCTTATAACTAAAAATAATCACAAAATTTTGACCAGTTTCATAATGAATAACAAAAGATATAATCGACTAAGTTCCGCGTGATCAGCTGATGGATTGAAATGAGAATCATTCGCCACTTTAACACTTTTTATGATATTCATATTCCAGTGTATTCATCGAGATCTTGCGGCGAGGAATATTCTAGTTGGTGAAGATAAAGTTATGAAAATAGCAGACTTTGGCTTAGCAAGGGATATTCATAAAGTTGACTACTACAGAAAGACCACAGATGTATGTATTTACCACGCAGTGTTCAGGATCTTATGTATATGTGATTGTCGAAGGTTCTGCTATTTGGTTTTTTATCTGTTGTGTTTGACAATCAGAAATAATTGGTAACACTGTTGCATCTGTTTTTGTTCTGCAGGGTCGTCTGCCCGTGAAGTGGATGGCGTTGGAAGCGTTATTTGATCGAGTGTACACCGCCCAAAGCGATGTGTAAGTTTTTCACTCGTTTTTTACCAAACCAGTTACCATGTCATACATAAGTTAACCATACATGTACCATACCATGTACCTTAAAATAATTGGACATATACCATACCAAACCAAACCATGCAAAACAAAAGAAACCATACCGTACCATACCTTGTCGTACCAAAATATACCTTACTTCACCTTATCATAACTTACTGTGCCTCATCATCAACCAGTACAAAATTTTCAAGCCAATATTTTATATCTTTTCAACAGTTGGTCATTTGGCGTAGTCGTCTGGGAAATATTAACTTTCGGTAAGTTTTTTTTCAAAATTCCTGTATCTTCTTCTCAATCATATCGACTTCAATTTATTTATTCAACCTGCAAACTACTACCAGTGCCACAATTTATCCTGTTTCTCTAACTCGTTTCTCAAAAGCATTTCTATTCTCTCCCACAGGTGGCACGCCATACCCAAGTATACCACTCGAAAAATTATTTGAACTTTTGCAAACGGGATACCGAATGGAACAGCCAGTAAATTGTCCAGAAGATCTGTAAGTGTTATTCTCATCGATCCTTTTTAATGACTTTCAATGCAGTCCACCAGTCCAAAACAAAGATTTGTGAAAAGATTTTTCCAAGTTTCACTTTATTTTTCTCCTCGAAATTTATCTCACACAAGATTCTTCTTTCTAGATATGATCTATTAAGGCGGTGTTGGAACGAGGAGCCTTACATTCGTCCCACATTTACTGATCTCGTACAAGAACTGGACGCTATGTTATCTAAGATGACAAACGAGGTACAGGGACTTGCCATATTTTCAGTTGTATTTAAACGGTCTCTCCTGTGCTCTCCAGTACTCATAAGGCAAAAAAATGGTTTCCTTCGGAATATTTGCATTTTCCCGTTCGAATTCCAAACTTTGAAAATCGTAGGCATACGAGAAACACGTGGAATAGCCGTACACCCTTGCCGTTCATTACCCACTTGTTAAATTAAAAAAAATTGTGCCCAGAGTCTTTTCAAGCAATGAAGAGTGCATTGCATTTTTTGTTTGAATAAAAAAATTAAGGCTCAATTACGCTGTCACCTCAGTTTACTTCACTGGGATTTAAACTAGGATAAAGAAACCTATATCTAAACTCTATATTCCTTCAGGAATACGTCGATATGGGCCAACTCATTTCTCCAATGCAGCCCCACCCGGTCACCCACCAGATCGCATCTAGTCCAAGCGACAGTGATTCGAGTGTATTCGAAAACGAAGATCAACATCAAGATGAAAAACAACCGTTGAAAACAGTAGACTGCAATCTTCTTCCAATCATCCAGGAGGTGACGTGTTGAAATATTCGGACAATCCCGTCAAAATTGTGGACGTTTTCCTTATCGTCGAGAGGAATTTAATGAGACGAGCAAGATTTTGCAAAGATGACAAGAATTTCGTTGGATGCAAAATAAATGAAAACTCTCTTGTTTTTCAAGTTGGTGCGCGGAACCTTATTCATCGAACAGGCAAGGTCATTGCCAGATACTCCTTGAATTTGGAAATAATCCTTCATCTTATTACGGTTTGGAAATGAAAATAGACAGTGGACACAATGGAACTTATTGTCTTAGTAACAATGTTCGAAATCCCTAAATCCTAAAGTTGACGGCAATTGAAGGTTGCTAAGATTTGGGTAAACGCATTGCTAGTCAACTTTTTTACATCTTGTACCGTTTTCTATTCTATTGTAAACGAAGAAGCAATTTGGTGGCAAAAAGGCGCTTCTTCCAATGGTAAACCTTGATCACAAAATGAAATGAGTGGTTCACCGACAAGAAATGAACGGTTATGAATCAAATAATTGAAGGAGATTTATTGGCTGAAAGATATATGAACCTTTTTGGTCGTAAAATTGGACAGTCTTTATCGGCTACAATGAAGAAGAGGTCAACACATTTCTAACAGTTGGATTTAAAGAATCATTCTACAATGGTTCGTACATGAATAAGAAAATGCTTGGTTTTATCAAGCAGATTACTTTATGGAGAGCATCTCTTGTGAAACAATTAAGGTATACAGAATTACACGTATACTCAAAAGTGTTATACTTTCGTAGTAAAAATAACCTAAAAACAGTCGTGTCATGGGAAAACAAGTTGACGAAACATCTGGTCCAAATCCAAGTGAACTTTATACCAGAATTTCTGAATGGCCTAGCTCACGACAGAAAAAGCTTTACATAGTAATAATTTACATCGTAAATAGTAGTTATAGTATAGATAGATTATAGTACCACTCGCAGGCTCTTTCTCATGCCAAACACTGTAGATATTCGAATAGTTAGTATAGCATAGTGATTTTTGAACTGACTTTAGGATTTTACAGAATTAAATACTACATGCTTCTTATAATTTCTGGCTTTAACATCGACTGACAAAATTTTTTTTAGAATGTTTCACACACGAGCCACATCGGTGTGAATTAAATTGTGAAATATTTTATTTTAGGTAGTTTTATGAACTTCTTTGACAAAACTAATATTAGAGCTTAATTCTGTTGTAAATATGTTACAATTTAATGGGGTTTTGAATGTAAAATAGATTTTGAAGAAACTGTATATATTTTTTTAAAGAGAAAGCTAATAAATGTTTCAAAACAAATATAATAAGCAGTTTTTCCAAACTCCTCAAGTTCTCAATTTATCAGCTGTGTTTACACACGATAAAATACTGCCCACAAATTTCATGCAAATTTCGCTTGAATTTGTTTCATTTGGCTGTGGTGGGCAAATATTTACTGCGAAAATGATAGATAGGTTCATAACCATGGTTTTTTATTGCTAGGAATTCGAGCCTTTGAGATAAAATGGACTTTTCAATCGCATTCTTTGGGTCCATTTTTGGAAACCATGGTTATCTTTTAAAAACCACGCATGAGGTTAGCCTAGTAATCTAGGCCTTTCGCTCCCTGCTTTGTGTAATAGTGGCCGCGCAGAATATAGATCGTGGGAGACTAAGGAGAGGGGGAGGGAGCGAGAAGGCCTAGCACATTTCGCAAATTTGCCCTTCCGAGAACGATTTTTGCCCTTCGAGTGGTCCTGGGTCCTAATGCCTACACTGATGTTTCTTAAAAGAGTAAAGACATTTCTTATATAAAAAAAATATTCAAGGAAATAAATTTTTAAAAATATTCTTTTACTTTCTGTGCATATGGTCATGGATGGATCCGTCAATTCAGGTAATTCTTTATAATTTATTAATCTCGTGTTGTAGTGTCGAATTACCATATATGCGTATAACGTAGTATTGTGCAGGTGAGCATTCAAGCATGACAAATGGCTCGAAATTTGATATCGTCTTTATGTTAGGATTGTTTTCTTTTATAAGCATACAATATTTGTATTTTAACATTATATTCGTCCTTCATATAACAAACAAGAAGTATCGACTAGCTCGAGGAAGAGCTTATACAGTGCAAAGGATTTTACTCCCAGTCCAGAAAGTAAACAAGTGCGCAAGAAATCTAAACGACAACAAGACGAAGGTATGTGACACGTGTTTATATTCCTCCATTTCTTGCACTCATATGCAACTATATAACGTGGTAATATACTGTATTTTATGTTCGTGAAAATCATGATCAAATTACATGTAGTAAAGCATTTTTTGTTGTTTTAATGAGCGAGATTTGTATTAATTGTGTGGATACAATTGTATTTACACACAATTGAATCATGAGTAGTAATTCACAATACATGTCGAGATCATTGGGACATACAGATATTAATCTGTGATTATTATTATGTAATGTTTTGCTGCAATATTTTAGATAACAAAAACAGTTATAGTGCAATATAGGGGATGTAACAGTATTGTACACTATATTACTAATGACTGCTGCCCATTTTATTGTTTTATTATTTATAAGCTAATCTATTTATTATAAATGATTGTATACATTTTAGCTAGCCTGTGTGTATAAAACTGTCTGGCATTAGAGTAAGATCATCTGGCATTAGACAGGGTGAAAAAGCCAAAGTATAAAAGCCAAAGTACTGTGCATCAAGGTGCATTGCCCCTTGATAGGATAATAAATATGTATTGTATTAATCTCTGCATTGAGCCTAACATCTTATTGAAAATTAAGGCTCATTGAATATTTCTTATCCTTTGTTTAATCTATTTTCATAATGTAACTGTGATTTTCTTTTTAAGAATATGTTCGTCAAATATTTCCAAAGTTGTTTAAGTATGATGTTGGAAAGGAAATCAGTGTTTGTAATGCTATGAGTAATGTGAGGGGCTCTTGCCCAGATGTGCACATAACTCGACCTACATTGTGGAAATGCATACAAGAAGTTTTTCCTGGAAAAGTTACAGTTATTGAGAAACAAATTGGCTCACAGAAAGATGGCATTGATTTAAGAAAGAGGTTGTATCCTTCACTATGTAATTACATTACCACTTACTGTGATTACTAATTTATATATTTTCTGTGAAAATCTACTTTAGCAGCTATTTTGATGCATCATGTTCAGTTCAGGCTGAAATTGCACCTCAACTGTTGATGTATGGAAATGGGTTTGACTACTTTGAAATGTTCAAGTTTTAAAGCAGTTTAACTTATTTGAACCATCATTTTGAAAAAATTATAAGCCATCTTGTTTATTTAACACAATCATATCAGGTTCTTTTGTTTAATGAATTCCTCACATGCATACATCAACAACTGGGTTTGCCTAACTAAGCTGCTTCTTACATGTTTACTTTCAAATTACTGTGGTTAAATATTCAATTATATAACTGTATCATGCTCATGTTGCCATTATTTAATTGGCATTAATAAAACATGCTGTAAAGCATCAAGGTGCAAAAAAAGGAAATATGATTATATGAGCCAAGAATAAATATATTTAAATTGTGCTTCCAGTACAATGCATTTTGAATGTTAATCACTTGCATACAGAGGGCTGATGTGGTTGGATAATTATTTTAGATGTCAATCGACAGTAATGAAGAAACTGAAACAGAATCACCAGCATCTGCTTCTCAAAAAGCATCTTAATATCTTTAACATTTATGCAGATCTTTCTATCAAAACATTACAACTAAATCTGAAGTATACCTTGATGACAATGTACCATCAACACAGTTAGGAACTGGGAATCCTGCTCTTGATAAGTTGATGCATGAGAATGAGTTACTAAGGAAAGAATTAGCGAACTCTAAACAATTAACAAATTAGAAGCTATTGCAACAGATGGAGCGTTGTCAAACAAACAATGCAAGCAGCTGGATCATGAAATGGCTTCAATACGTCAGTTATATTCAATTGATTTTGAACATTTTGCAGAGCCATATGAAGAAGGCAATGTCGTGAAACCTGGTTTCTTCGGCAAAATTGCTACAGATATTACAGAAAAATGCCCTATACTAACTAGTATAATCAATTCTATTGCTGTGGGAAAGTCTGCTGAAAGGAATACAGGGAAATTAACAGACTTGCACATTCAAATTCAAGGCAGCCATCCAGGCAGTTATGGCATTAGATGATGTGAAAAGTGACCGATCTGCAAAACAAAGTGCCGTTTAAGATTTTTATAAATCTGTTTCGCATTTTTGCACTGGATGTGTGGGCATGCTAATCCACTCGTTTCCGCCATATTTAGTCATCTTAAAGGAAAAGCGTGCGCGAGACTGAAACCGAGTTTACGAAATGTACTAGGCCTTCTCCGCCGGAACCGTCACGAAAATTACCGATCAGCGTTTCTCAGCGTTTCCGGGTAACTAATTAACGGCGGTAGAAGGCCTATTAACTAGGCTAGCATGAGGTAAGCACGCACACTTATCCGTCGTCACGTTTTGGATGTTGCATCATCCGTACGTTCTCCGGTTCGTTCCGGCCGGAAACGACCAATCAGAAGGGCGGATATCGGACACGAAATTAAAAATTCCAAAACAATGGGGCAGTCAAAGAACGGAGCGTAAAACTTTGATAAGTTGTGGTTGAAATTGGCGATCAAATAAATGTGATAAAATGTCCTTTAAGCTTTGTATTTTGGTGTGAATTGCGTACTGACACCTACATTAGCTTTGAGAGCTTATATACTATGTATTCGCTCAGTAATCGGGCTTGTTTTGGCCTTCGTTCTGCCTTGAAGAGTCGCGTTGTATTTTGGCAACGTGGCTTAAGCAGTCAAGAGAACGGGAATGGCTTGACGAGCTTCGATGAACTCTACACGGGCAGAAAAGCTGCGCTACATCGTATGGAATTAAAGAACAAGAAAAGAGTTATGGTGAAGCTTGGTTCTGCCGTGATTACTCGCGAGGATGAGTGTGGTGTTGCTCTCGGAAGATTAGCCTCTATTGTAGAACAGGTTCACTTCAAATGTTGATCTTTATTATAATCGCATATTCTAGGCACAATGAACCGGCTATGTTTTTTTCTGTTGCACAGCAATGTTACCATAAGATAATATTATACAAACGTAGATTCGTAACTTTTCGTTTGCATGTTTTTAACAAAATAATTCGATGTAGGTCAACATTGGTCATTAAAATAGTACTGTACAATAATATTTACTTACCATATTAGTCACGACCCGATACGTGACTCATTCTTAATTAAAGCATGAATGGATCACAGCAAGCCTCAGGTTATATTTAGTTTTTTTTTGTTTCGTTATCATCTTATTATCTTTTGTTAATTATCATGTCGAAATTATTATCAAAAGCTGAGTCCTTACCTATTCCTGTCACAGTACCCCCCTGTATAAACGTTTAGCATCACTCCCTAGAGAAAACAGCATGTTATCTTGTGTGACACCTGACAAACCACTCCTTCCCTGTGGTCCACAGTGAATATTGTCATGTTGCTATACGTATAAGTGTCATAGATTTTAAAACCCACAGAGGAATATGAATTCAATATTATTACTGTGCAGTATTGCTTTATGATTTTGTACCCCAAAAGGCACAAGTCTACCCCCACATGCTCTGGTAAGCTGAGGCAGTGGATGCAACTGCCCCCTTTGCCCTGGCAGCCCTGGACGGTCTGTGTGAACTCTAAATTCCAATAGTTTCTTGCATTTCTATTGCATACATGACCAAAGCCTAATCAAAGCATAATATAGAACCTACAATGTCCATGAACATTTTACTAGATATCGGAACTACAACAGTTGGGTCATGAAATGATGTTGGTAACAAGTGGTGCGGTTGCATTTGGCAAACAGAGGCTTCGCCATGAACTGCTGTTGTCTCGTAGCATGAGACAATCCCTGAGACCAAACGAGCATCCGCAGGTACAGTAATGTACGTCAAATGAAAATTTACATGAAGTTTAGTTATGATAGCATATAACATATTAGTGCTTAATTCCACAGGTGCTTTTTCATAGCAAAATGCAAAATATTTCCTTTAAATGTTTCTTTTGAATTTTGACCACATGAATCAATTAATTCTGCTTCATTGCTCACAATACAAAAGAAGCAGGCGAAATATTTTACATTTCGCTTGAAAATTTAGCCTGTGGAATTGAGCTCTACAGAAGAAAACAAGTAGATTTAAAAATTTGGGGTATTTTTTTAGGGAAATTTACTTCCACAACTTGAGCCAAGAGCATGTGCTGCTGTGGGTCAGGGTGGGTTGCTGTCATTGTACGAAGCCATGTTTAGCCAGTATGGATTGACTTGTGCTCAGGTAATCAAAGAACTGATAACTTCCTCAAGAAATTTTCCTGAATACCCCCTGTACTAGGGGGAATTTCGTTTTAGTCTTTATATTTGTTTACATTTTTTTAGGCAAAGCCAATCAGAATGTCTAAATTTATAATACTTCATGTGAAATTGTAAATAATGTACCTACTTTTTTACTTGAAGTAGTCAAAATTTATGCATTCTGATTGGGTTGCTGAAAATGTAAAAACAAGCTTGCTGATTGGTACTGTACTTATATGATATGAATGACAGTTGTTGGCTTCACCTCCGGTTTTGCGCATCGCCTACGTTATTAATAGAAAATTGTGGTGTTTATAAATCCTTCCTCTGAACGATGTGAATGAATGGATAAGTTACAGATATTGCAATTGGGGCACTTAATACGTAAAGCGTACATAACTATTCACAATTTCACATCAATCAAAAGTATGAAATCACATTGAAAATTGAAGCAAAAAATGCAAGTGTAAATCGGCCTCTAGAATGATCTCATTTCAACGTGTTGTAAACAAATTCGCCCGCAGGTTCTCGTAACGACTCCGGATTTTAAAGATGCCGAACTTCGAAGCAATTTGAGGTCGACAATGGACGCGTTGATAAAAATGAATTGCATTCCAATAATCAACACGAACGATGCTGTTGCACCGCCACCCGGCGAAGACCACGACCTAAAAGGGGTGGGTATACTATTTCTTCCCTTTTAAATTTAGTTTATCATTAAAACAAGAAGGAATTTTGTTTTAAATTGACAATTTTTTTAAATTTTTCAGGCATATCCAATCAGAATGTCTGAATTGATATTTATGCATTCTGATATTTGATATTTATGCAATTTCTGCTTAGAAATGTAAACAAATTTACCGATTGGTCTAAAATGGAATTCTTTCTTGTTTATTATTGAACAAAGTTGTATATATTGTAAAAGAGATCAATTTGACAAAATACAGCTCGCAACAAAAATCGAAATTATATGCATGAAAACATATTTATTACCGTTCAGTTTCTTTGTAATATTGTCCAATAGAAGTTAGATATTCTTTCCGAAAGATCTTATAATGTGCTAAATGTGAAAATGTCTTGATGAATGAATTATATTAGATTCATGTTTTGAATCGAGTTCCTATATTTCGACGCCATCTTGAAAAATATGTAAACAAATTGCCGCCAAAATGACATACGACAATTTTTCACGTCCAATCAAAAGCCGTGTATCGCATTTTTTTCACACGTGATAAGATCGTACGTCCAATCAAATTGCATGAAATTAATTTTCCCAGTGAAATACGACTTTTATAGTAAATTTAATTTGATATTGAGTCTGCGATATAATAATGATCTAATCAAAGTGATAATATAATGATTACATGTATTTATAAATATTACACTCTATAATAAATAAATATGACTTTATGTTCGAATTAAATGTTTTGCTTTTCAATATAACAGCATCTTAAGCTCCTTGCTAGGACTATTAACCGCTGTAATTCCAAAGTGAGACTACAATCGATTAACTGACCATTCATTTAGTTATTTCACACCGTAAATTCAACAAATAATTCAATACATCAATCGATATTAATTACGAGTTTAAATATATATTTTATTTGTGCGAATTCTTTTTTTTATCTCGTACTAATCCTTTCCAAAACATAATTTACAAAAACATGTGCATACCATGGTTGATATTTTGAAAAGAAGCTCTTCTCCATGCATTGTCGTTTGAAATAGGTCATATTTACACAATATCCTTTATTTTATTTTATTTCATAGTTAAGAAGAAAGTCAAACTCGGTAAGTATCTTCCTAAAAAATCTTGCTGCGATTTTTATGTTGTGTAAAGCCTCGTTTTAAAAGCTTATTACATAAGAAAATCGTACCTGCGACAACAAAATAGATCACATTCTGTTAAACTTGAATAAAATTTTATCAAATATCTTAATTAATATTTGTATCTACATGTAGTCGGTGTACAGATTTTTGTATTATCCACTCATTAGATCATTAAATTATTATGTATAAGTTATGTCAACAAGCATTTAGCGAATAATAATAGACAAACTCTTAGAAACTTAAATTAGTATAATATTTATCTTCAGCTCGAGTCGTATATGAGCTGATAGCCAACTTTGTTGCGACTTATTGGCTATTAACCACATATGATGAAAGAGAATTGCAGCTATAATCGTTTAATGATATAGCCAGAACTTTATAATAATGAAAAGTCCAAACTTTTATTAGCTAAATTCCCATCACAAATTCTTACTATTTTTACTGTTTGTTTTCACTATACTCAACATATATGAGCTCAAATCTATACAGTGCATGAGTAGCTCAGCCAATCAGAATCAACAGCTCAGGCAAATCGGTGAGTAACTATTATAAAAACTGTTGATGATCATAGTGTTTTTCTTCCTATATTTATTGTAGATAATCAGTTTGAAGGATAACGACAGTTTGGCTGCCTTGCTTGCTGTAGAAATGAGAACAGATGTTTTAGTTCTGCTGTCAGATGTGGATGGAATATATACGTCGCCACCAGCTCGAAGCGATTCCCAACTCATCTCGACCTTTCATCCTTCAAATTTGGAAAACATCACTTTCGGTGAAAAGTCTAGAGTTGGTATGGGGGGAATGGAATCTAAGGTTTGTGTTTTAAAGCACAGTCGGTTTTGTGTCTGGTTCTCAACAAGGTAGCGGCTTCAATCGTTTTCTCCATTTTCTTTGCAGGTGAAGTCCTCAGTCTGGGCTCTTGAACGTGGAACGTCCGTGGTGATTGCGAATGGCGTTGGTTCCGAGTACCACGCTCTTTCAAAGATCTTGGCTGGTGGAAAAATAGGAACATTTTTCTCCCTTGCAGAGCAGACGGGGCCTTCGGTAGAGGACCAAGCTGAAGAAGGTGATATAATAGGGAAGATTTTAATTCGTGTTTAGCTAAATTGACTGTTTACCGGATAACTATATCGTTCAACTCACTAACTTAGTTTTTACTGGATAGCTTTATCAGTTCTAAACTGTTCTTCCTAGAGGTCCAGTAAGGATGATCTCTTATTGATCCAGTGTTACTACAGGAGGAAACCTAAACTAAACTAACTTGATTTATACTGGATAGCTCTATCAGTTTTAAACTGTTCTTCCTAGAGGTCCAGTAAGAATCATCTCTTATTGATCCAGTGTTACTACACAAGGAAACCTAAACTAAACTAACTGTATTTCCCCGAAACCCTGATGTTATTTTGAATCGCATTCTTTAACTCTTGCACAGCCAGAAGTGCCGGTCGAGCGTTGCAAGCACTGGAACCCGAGAAGGTTGGTCTGGTTTTTTCACGCCATTGAAAATTTTAAAGTATTGCATGTGGGATGAAAAATAAACAAGTTATTTTGGTTTATTCATGACAGCGTGCTGATATTTTGTATCGCCTTGCGGATCTTCTTGAAGAACGAACAACAGAGATTCTTGATGCAAATGGTCGTGATTTGGAAGCAGCGACATTATCCGAAAACCTCGAGCCGGCTATGTTGTCCAGACTCTCACTAACTCCGAGCAAAATCAACAATCTCGCCGCCGGAATCCGACAGATTGCCGAAAGCTCTCACGAGAATATCGGTCGGGTCCTCCGAAGAACGAAGGTTTCCGAAGATTTAGAGCTCGTTCAAGAGACAGCACCGATTGGTGTGTTGATGGTGATATTTGAATCACGTCCTGATGCATTGCCACAGGTAAATATACGAGCTTAATCCGTTATTAATCCGTAATTAATCCGTAATTAATCCGGCTGTTTTAAAGCCGGGAGTTTGTTTAAGCGGGTTGTGTTTAGTCACAAAACCTCAGCAATATGTACTAGGAATATTTACGGTTTATACATTAGTTACAATGAAGAAAGATATTCCAAGAAGCTAATTTGTTTTTTTTTGTGAAATTGGACCACAGAGACGACCATTTGTTTTAACACATTAGGTGGCCGCGTTAGGACTGAGTACTGGCAATGGTTTGCTGTTGAAAGGCGGGAAAGAGGCGTATCATAGCAACCGTTGTTTGCTGAAGATCGTCCAAGAGGCTGTGTCAAGACATGCTCCGAGAACGGCCGTACAATTGGTAGGGAAACATGTAATATTTTTCTTCAGTATTCCCTGGGGTAGCCCATAAGTATGTGTGTCCAGTTTTGTATTGCGCTCTGCAATGCCGAGACGCCACAGACCGCAATATGAAACGAAACAAAATCCCCAATTAAGACGTTCGCTTTGCCGACCCATGCCTTTACAATACCTCATGTAATACGTATAATTTGTTGTTAAAGATAAGCACTCGGGAAGCAGTGAGTGATCTTCTCAAACTAGAAGGAATAATTGATCTCGTCATACCTCGTGGCTCCAACGAGCTGGTTCAGCAAATTCAAGAGAAAAGCAAAGGGATACCTGTGCTCGGTCACGCGGAGGGAATATGTCACGTGTTCGTTGATAAAGAGGCAGACCCTGCGATGGCTATTCGCATTGGTAAGCGGTCTTAAGTATCGATAGGATAAAACTTCATATCATTTTTTCATAAGAGCTTAAAACTTAAAAACTACTTTTTGTGTGATCTTTCAGTGATTGACTCAAAGTGTGACTATCCAGCGGCCTGCAATGCTATGGAAACCTTACTCATCCACAAAGATCTCATTGGAACGCAAACATTCCAGGATATTCTTAACAACTTAAGAGACAAACAGGTAGGTGCAAGTCATAGTTATAAATGCTCTGGGTCGGTGGTATAAAACTGCTATAACTGCATTCGAAGTAGCTTAATCGTGGTTATCTCAAATCAGAAACCTGATTGGCTTTCTCTGCCAGTAACTATGCCTAAAAAATTGACCACCTTTTTCATAACCTTCCGAGATGATGTATAAATGCCTTTATTTAAACATCCGTAACGTATCTACTCTTTCACATTCATCAAAAGAAGAAAATCGAGGCCTTTATGCTTATGCCTCTTTTGATATCATAGGTTGTAGTTCATCCAGGAATGCGTTTAGCTAAGGCGTTGCCGTTTGGTCCAATGGCTGCGACATCGATGCGAAAAGAGTACGGGGCATTGGAATGCACGATGGAGATCGTGGATAATGTTGAAGACGCTGTCAATCATATTAATATATATGGTAGTTCCCATACCGATACCATCGTAACGGACGACGGTAGGTTCGAACGTTTTATTTGATGTCTTAGGAACAGCGGATGTTATTATCTCTGAGCGCTGAACTCTATATCGGAACTGGATCGATAATTGACGGTCATTTGGCCAAATCAAGTTGAAGCCGGTTTGAGGACCAGTGCCAGTATCTTCTGTTAAGAAGATTGATGCTGACACTAGTGCTGAATTTGGCTTTAAAATGGCCGAGACGTTTCAGTTCAGATAGAGTTCACTATTTCACATATAACAAGTGTCGAACCAATCACCTAGCAACCATTGAACTATAAGTAAACTGTAATGCTATGTATTTTCAGATGAAGCAGCGCAGATGTTCCTGAAGGCCGTCGACAGCGCGTGTGTGTTTCACAATTGCAGTACTCGCTTCGCGGATGGCTATCGTTTCGGCCTGGGTGAGTCGTTGTTAAATATCATATACCTTCTTCTGTTACGTAACTCGCATTGAATCAAAGTGAAAAGTGCAGAGCATGCGCACTCTTGAAATTGCATTGCGAATTTCGAGTGCCATTGATCGAAACCTGATCTTAGGTAACAAAATAGTCAAAATGGCGGCAAATATCGGCGATTTTAAATACGCCAGCCCGTAACTTCGGCGCAAACTGCAAACTGCAGTTGGAATGAAAACAGAGTAAAGCACAAAACTTAATGCGTTCTAATTTTATATAAACCCGTATGTTAACGTGTTTAAATGTCTGTGAAATGAATTTAACAGCAGCCCTTGCGCATCAGTGCTGCGTATAAAAAATGTGGAACTCCATTATTCACATTTTTTTACATGTTTCTAAAGTCATCAACTCTCTCTCTCGTATTCATTTAGAAGCACAGCGCGATGCGCAGCGAAGCAATATCCCAATACATGATACTGATTTAGGAAGTATAGAAGTTCAAATTATTAACAAAGCGCCCTTGGAAAGCGCCTTTGGAAATTATTGCCCAATTTTTTTTACAAGCAGTGCCTTTCTATTCTGAACAGTTTCTTAGTATACATGTTCAGAAAGGTTTGCTGTTTTAAATGAATTCAAATAATAAAATAATCGTCTTTCGACGTGTTTAAGGTGCTGAGGTTGGCATCAGCACGGGCCGAATTCACGCTCGTGGCCCGGTGGGTGTTGAGGGACTTTTGACTACACGATGGGTCCTCAAGGGGCACGGTCAGACCGTGGCGGACTTTGCCGAAGGAGGCAGCCTTCGATACCTGCACGAAACCTTGCCGTTGACCGAGGAGGAAGTACAGGACATTGAGGGTGAAATAGGGACTGGCGAGGACATCGAGGATAGCCAATACGAAAAGGACAATATTGGCAAAGGTGGTTGAGAATCCCCAGAGTCCTTATTTTTGAGGACTCTAAATGCAGCCGATATTTTAACTGCTACAAACGTTTTCCTTATTTTTTTACATTATATTCAGGGGGGAGGTTATAATGTCACTGAACATCTCCGGCGCGGCAACATTACAAGGATTGGGATCCATATGGGATGATTTTACAATTTTATTAGATGAAGTACAGGTACCGAAATTACCGCCATTTCGAGTGGCTCCACTTTAATGTAATCACGTTTCCAGTTATTGGTTAAAAGGAAAAATATTTCCTTTCTAATAATTTATCGTCGACTTAAGCCGGTTTTCCACTAGCGATATTTTTCGCGCGAAGCGACTTTACTCCTTTGTATTTGAGCAATTTGTTCCAGATGGTTGCAGTTGAGAGCTCTGGAACAAAAGTAAAATGTCGATTTGCGCGAAAAATATCGCTAGTGGAAAACCGGCTTTACGGCTACAAACTGATCAAAAAACTAATCTAAGCCGTTCATCATAGGTATTGTAAAAATAAAACTTCCAGGCCAGATCTAGGCCTCTAGTGTTATTAACGCGGCTTTATACTGCTGATGTCCTGTTTCCAGAACAAATTTCGTTTATAAGCGTGACCATGGCTTTCCCAAGTACACTGTTCTCCCCAGCACTACGTTCACATAGCTCGAACCACGCGAAAAACCCATGTTCTTCACAAAATCTGTCCATTTCCTCCGTGGACTCCATTACCAAACCCTGACCGATCCATTTCGGTGGTGTTTTGTATGCATTATCAACAATCAAAACAAATGGAATATCTGTCTCGGGGTAGGCCGAGCAAGAGACGTGATGCTTCCATTTTATGGCACTTTTCATTGAGGAGCAATTTGCACCCCAAAAAACAATGACGCCGCTTGTAAATCTATAGTAAACTTTGCACATTGTACTTCCGGGATCTTGTTGTCTGTCACATTCCATTATATTCCATATTTGTAAGTGAATTTCGTTGCCTGACGTGTCGTGCAACTTTTTCATGTCGAAATCGACGCCTATTACAGGACTATAGTAATCTTTTGTTGTTACAGGTTTAAGAACGTAGTCTTTTATATAAACTGCTTTACTGAAAGCGCCTGAACAATCTCCAACGCAAATTACTTTGAAATGTAACTTCTTACAGCCATACCATTTCTCAAGTTCTGTCTCGCAGTTTGTCTTGAAAGTAGTCATTTCAAATTCATTTCTTTCTTCTGTACTTTGGTTTTTTTTTGATTTGGTAGTTTCAGTCGCCATCAATCTGTAAGCTTTAGCCATTATACGAAAATTCTACTTGGCTATCCACCTCTATGTTACTAAATTTTATACGAATTCACATTCAAAGAAGGCCGGAAGGAGATTATTTTAGTTATCACGTGAGTTAATATGTTAATTGTAAGGATTTAAATTTGACCTCGTCAACTTGCAACAAGACAGACAATCGATCAAACTTTCTGTTCCCGCTAATATACACTAAACTAAGTGACATTTAAAGCTATTTTTTGCCACTTTCACAGTTGTTATTTGTAGCTATACTTAGCTATATAATAGTCTAATATTTGTTTGGAAAATGTGATGCAAGGTTTGAGTCTTGGATGCAAAGTTTGGATCGTGTACGCCAAGCTAAACTATTACTATCCGGCATAGTATGTTTCAAAGGCTTTTCTATAACAACATTCATCCTTGTCAACGTAACCAAAGTTGTGGAAATTAGTATAATAACTTATAATTTCTAAACTTCGGCGTTTTTTGTTTGTCAGATAATTTGTCAGATAATTTTCCAGATAACTTTGAGCATGCGTGTCCGTGTACAGCGGTATCATGAATAATCATAAATAATGATTATAATTGAAAGCAAAATGAAAGCATATTCAAATTCTTAAGATATAGTCTGTTACCATCCAGAAGAATAGCAAACTACACAGGAAGGTCAAGTGTCTAATAGCAGCATTTCATTACAATGTTCAATTTGACTATTTTAGGCCGGAAAGCAATCTTTTGTGTCTTATCTTTCGAGGAAAAAACACACTAGAAAATGAACTATCTTTACCCTTTAACCGGCAAGCCTGGGTGAAGTTACTATCGGTAGCGAGAGATTTAGGGTCAGTGCTTTGGGATAGTTTCCTATATACTGAAATATTCTCAGACTTCGCAGATAATGTGAATTTTAGAAGCGGCAGTTTTTGTATTTTAATATATAGCTAAATATAGTTGCTCTATCAAAAATATGCAATTCTGAATGCGTAAGAGATGTAAGATAAATTTCTGACATTTTTCTACTCTCGCCCTGATAAGAGATACGATGAGTGTTCAACGGCACCATTTTGTTGAGTTTTTTGCGTTGTATATGAGCTACAACCCCTCTCCCTTTTTGCCCTCAGAGTTGAAGGTTTACAGTTGAAAATGACAACGATAAATACAGTGAAATATATAAATTTATGCATTATCATTCGTTTATCATCGAGAATTTTAAATATGTACTGGGCATTGTTTCTTCATGAAAATTTTATGAAAACAATCACCGTGATGTTGCAATTATCCAAAATATTACGTAAACCATATCATTAATTTCCTCTTTGTGGCAATAATATAGCTAACATGAAAGAGTATTATTTAAATACTATGTAAATCTGACATATTACAACGGAATTCGAGTGCTTTAGCCGAAGATATGGCCGAAGCTTGTGTTATTACGGTGAACAACAGTTCTGAACTGCAGGGCAATCGCGAGAAGGAGCTTAAAATGAACACGTTTTCATCAGATGTCAAAACAAGAGACACCAGTTCAGACAAGGCGGAAGTAGCCATTGTTGACATTGCTTCGTATGCTGGAAAGAAATCGTTCAAAGTTGCCTGTGCCGGCGATTATTTCGGAGCGCGATGGAGTAAAGGTGTATACATCGATGACTACACCTCGTCGGATGGTATTATCGCGGAAACTCCGAATAATTTGCCGGTAATAGGGGCTAAATTTGCCGTGAAATGCTTGTACGATACGTCGGGCAACGAGATACAACTTAAAATTTGGAATTTAGCCGAGCATCGAAGATATTTTTCCGTTAATAGCAAATTGTATCGAAACTCCGATGGCGCCATCGTGTTTTGGGGCGCGAAATGTGATTCGCTGGAAAGTGTTTTGAAATATAAAAACGAAATACGGACACTCGAGCCAAATATTCCTATCATATTACTCGTTGATAATGTATTTCAGCCATCGACAAAGTGGATCGGTCAGGGTTTGGTAATGAACTCCAGAGAAGAAATGGATAATTTTTGCTCGGAACATGGATTTTTCGCGTGGTTTGAAATGTTGGAACGTGGTGCCGGGGTGAGAGAACAGTGTTTTCGGACGAGCTATGTCGACGCTCGTGAACGAAATTATCACAAGAAACGAACGTCAGAAATGACAAAATGAATGACCCTAATTTTACTCCGTATCGTATACGAACAATGTCAAAATTACATATTTATTCATCGAAACGTCTTGGATTAACCCAATAATTCATAAATCAACTCAATCCCGTTAGCCTGTGATATATAAACTGTAAACTATTTAATCATCTGTATTCTGACTTAACTTTAAGCCTGTTTACATGGTCACGTGCAGTTAATCGAGATATATTGAAATGATTTTGAGGTATTAAAATTAGTCTTGATGCAATCAAACAAGCACATGCTCAAGTCGGAACGACTATGCCGCTCCAGGATCATGTTATTTACTTATTTCAATACCTCAAAATTATGTCACGTCTAAGCTAGATCATACAAACTGCTCTGTACATGTTAACCACGGTTGCCAGGTTACTGAATGAATACGCAAAATATTTCCATGCATGTATTTTCACAAAGATTTCTTTGTCTTACTGTAAACAAAGAATTCAAAGGACTGTCTATAGCAATGTTTAACCTCTTCTATTCTGTAATTTGACAACCGCAATGTTGACTAGGAACTAGGAAGGGCAAAACCGTTTTTAGTTTCTTCATGAAAACATCAAGATCGATGATTCAAGTGTGAATATTTGATAAGAGGTTTTCAAAATAATGTGAATTATTTAATACAAATATAAAGCTATATTATTATGTTTAACGAATAATATTTGAATACTCTATTGACAAGCCTGGTTATAAACGTAAAACGCTGTGAAAATCTCCAAGGTTTTTGAAAAACGAGTGCATGTATGCCTTATAATGAATTTTCCTTGGTTCTGACGGAAATGAGTGATGACGTAAAATTTTTTATGGCATAATCGTAATCTTGCCCGAAGGGTCCAGGGACGTGGATGATTTTGTTCGTTTCCAGTCCTTAATTCGGAAATCAGCGCCAACTGTACCAATTCTATTGCTTATCGATGTGTTGAAAACGCCAAGAAAATCGATCGGTCAGGATTTGGTAGTGAATTCCACGACGGAAATGGACGATTTCTGTCTGGAACATGGATTTTTTGCGTGGTTTGAAATGTTTGAACGTGGCGCCGGAGTGGCAATCGAGTGGTTTTGGACGAGGCATGTTGAAACTCGTGGACGAGCTTATTGCGATGAAATATTAGATAGCCTAATATTTGATCACACGCCTAATCCCACTAAAAGATTTGCGGAAACGATCTGCAAAATAGTTGAAAAATTAAAACAAAACCTAGCCGATTTATAATAGCCTAATGCATTGGTCTTATTTACAACACCTTATATACGACGGGTTCGACAAGACCAAAATATAATATTTTTAGCGGCGGTCCACCACCCTGATACTCTATCTAGAGAACGGGATATCGTGGTATGGACGTAAGCCCAGTTTACACTACACTCGATTTATTGGCACGGCATGGCTAAAATAGGTAACGTACCCATTTCATCTGTACTCGGCCATTGTTTTGGTAGCCTGGACATTAATAAAATTGGGTACGGGTACCAATTTCAGCCGTGCAGTGCCAATAAATTTAGGGTATTGCAAACGGAGCTGTAGTTTACCGTTTTAAAACGCGTGCGCGTTATATAACTGCTGTTAATAGTTAAATGTTCCGCTCTTTAATTGAGCCCCATTACATTATAAAAGAGAGCTTGAATTTAGATTGGCATTTACGGCAAACACCAAAACGCTAGTAAACTTTGTGTTTTAACTCCACGCTCTTAAAGTGTGCAGCTATTTCACAAAATTACAAACGTTCTGCATAAAAACTCGTGTGCTCAGCAGTGATGTAAGAAAGCAACTGCGATTGCTTATGTATTTAGCAAAGCAGTAAATGCAGCTTTGCACTGTATGGTCATGTTTGCCGCATAAAATATGATGTTTGAACGAACGGTTGTGGGTGATGCAGTTGTATGAGTCGGTGATGTGCTCGTGACACCCATACGGAGTCTGGACGGCAAAGCTGAATTTGCTGCTTTGCTAAATACATCAGCAATAGTCTATTGAGTTCTTACATTACTGCTGAACATCACGAGTTTCATGTAGAACGTTTATAATTTAGCGAAATTGCTGCACGCTGTAGGATTGTGGAGTTGAACACAACGTGTTGTTATCGATTTGGCGTTTGTCGTAAATTTGCGGTGACTTTGAAGCATTACAATAAGTACAATAAGTGTTTTTGGAGCCAAGCAAGCGCATGTTATTGTCGAGATAATTCACTAATCTGACGTTACACTGGTTAAAGTAACTGTACCTTTCAAAAACTGAGCCAGAATTTGAGAGAACTTCCGGAGTATCAATTGATAGCAATTAATCCATCACGCACGCGAACCACAGGGAGAGTCTTTCTGAGTAACTATGTAGTTGTAGTTGAATAGTTAGGACTTTATGTTGAATCAGGTCTAAATCAATTTTAAGGATTTAATCCATCACGCGAACCCCAGGAAGAGTCTTTCTGTGTAGTTATGTATTTAATAGTTACGACTTTTTTGCATCAGGTTCTAAATCAATCTTGAGGAGTTAATCCATCACGCGAACCTCGCATGGAAGAGTCTTTCTGCATGAGTAACTCTGTATTTTAATAGTTAAGACTTCATTTTGAATCAGCTTCTAAATAAATCTCAAGTCTTACGTTGATAAAGACAACCTTGACATGAAGTATATAGAATATATATAGTGTATATCCAGATAATCCAGTGTAATATTAGATCAGTGAACTCAGTCCAACCTCAGTTAACGGCCTGGCTAACTCAGTAAGATTTTTCCCGAAGCTCTGACTGACTATTGACTGAGCATAAATGGTATCTTCTCGTGTTTATATAACTTACTTATTTTATATTTATACTTATTTTGAAAACTTTGAAGTCATTCCGCACGTTGTATAAGCTCGGTTTCTGGCCTCAGTAAGATCTCCCCCAAGAGAAAACTATGAACTATTGATAAATTGAGCAGAGCTGGTATGTTCTGTTGTTTATAACTTATCATTTTATTCTATATTTATATTTATTTTGAGTACTTCGAAATCATTCCACGCGTTGTATATAAGCTCATGCAGTGTCCTGCCTTAGTAAATTTTCTTCGAGAAAAACTCTGAACTATTGTTAAATTGAGCATATAGCTGGCGTGTTCTCGCGTTTATAACTTACTTATAGCAAGCATTATTCAAAAATAAACTTCGATCTTTGTTAGACAATGGAAAGTTATTTGCAAACAATACTTAAAGTACTTGGTCTTCATAGCCAAAGGGTGCCTTGCTACTTTAAACAATAGTTTTATTATCCCTTTTGATGTTAAAAGGATATATTAATATCCCTCTTTTGATGTCGCCGGGAAATTTAAGAATATGGTAACCTTGAATATCTCACTGTTCATGCCACGAGATCGATATTTAGATATCTCTTATTTGATGTCAGAGGAATATTTAAGTATCCTCTTTTGATGTCAAATGGGTATTTACTATTCCTTATTTGATGTCATACAGATATTTGAATATCTTGTTTTGATGTCAAAGATATATATCTTAATATTCCGCTTGTAATACCAAAGCGATATTTGAATATTCCTCTTGTAATGTCAAGCTGGTATTAAACCTTGGCTTGGCTCAAGTATCGCCCTTTTACTTATAAAACGGAAAGCGAATTCAAAATGTTGTTTCTCGACAATACTGAGTTTTATTTCATTTAAAAATTTGCATTCACCTCAAATTTAGGCAGTGGTTCGTTGTAAAATGTACGTTAAGTTCTAAGGCTAGGTACTGGCTCGTTCAAGGATCGCCTTTTCAACATCATCGCGAGATTGGATTCGTACGTTTTTTTTATAGTAACGTGCTCGAAAGGTCTTAAAGGATTAAATCTAAACGTGTGTGTTTTTTACGACTTCATGTGCATGTGTATCCGTCCATCACTAGCTTCCAGAGCACGCCCCACGGCTATTCTTGTCTCAAAGTCAAGGCGCGAATGTTCGCTTTTTTACAACAATAGAAATAGGCTAAGCGTAGGTGAAATGTGCAACTATTTATGTGCAATGAATTGCACGTGTAAGATGAGCACAAGAAAACATTGGTAAGTAAAATTTAAACCGTGAGATCGATTTTTTATAACTCTGACGTACACGACTCACGTTTTCTTCATGAATGGTGGCTCGGCCACAAAATATTCTCACCAACTGCTTTTGAGATTCTGTTTAAAAAAACAGAGCCATTATACCCATTTCCTTTTACTGTCATTTTCAATTGAGTCTACGTGATTTTGCGAAGTTCTTCCCGAACTTCAAAGTGTTTTTATGCTCCCAAGTTCATGAATGATGCGTTGAAATTGCGCACGTACGTTGGACCAAGGCCCCGTTATGATTGAGTTGTTTATATAAGCTGGGATTATCAACATATGATAAACTTCGAAACATTTTATGATTTTTTCGAAGGAACTTCGCCTGTAACATATCAGTCATTATGGTAGAAATTGCTTCGAGTATACCTTAGAATTCAGCCTGTGCTGAAGCATGCAAATAGATTGCTACTTCGATTAAATAAGCTTAGCAAGTTCACGTCCTATACCGCCTTTTAAACGAAAAATAGACATGCAAGTGAATGCTTTCTTAGACGTTTTTACATTCATGAATTTGAAATGATGCTATAACGAAATGTATATAGTATAGATCTATAGTAAATATCATTATGTTTTTATTTTGGGATGAATTTGAAAGAGACATAATATCATTAAAAAATGGCAATGCTCAACGGCACGGAATACGCTATCAGATGAAAATGAGATGTATAAAATATTCAGTAAAGACAGGATAAAAAAAATATGACGCACGCATGAAAGTCATTAGTGTAACCTGTTTGTCTAGTACGCTTGACCTGCGAGTGAAGTATGTTGTTTGCACAGAGTTTTCTACGCAGATTCACTTCGAATTCGCTAGCAAAGAAGGTTGTGTTTTTCACGATTTAGCCCCCGTGTTTTGCAGTGCGAAATTTCCTCGAGATCCTTGATTATACATACACGTAGGTGTTAATGAGACAAAAACAACAGCGAATTAAATCAGATCAAGTTATCAAACTAAGGTATAATTAATGGCGGGCCGATAGATAACAAACAAACAAACTACTGCCTGATGTGTTTTCTTCGAGCGCTAAGTATTTTTCTCGGCGTTGTAATGATAATTTAATACCCTTTGCTATTTCAAATGTGAAAAAGATTAACCGTAAATCATTGCTCTTATTTAATACCCGCGTTTTTTTGGTTATATAGTGACACATATTCGTTTTATTACATGGGATATGTATTCGTATTATGCTCTAAAAGATAAGGAAGGGAAGAAATGTGATACAACGGAGATAGATATCACTCGTTAAAACTATTTTGTTTATTGTCTAGTACTTTTATCGCTTTGGTTTGCTTTTTCATTTTTGCGAAATCAGTTTGCGTGGCGGTGTACAGTGTTTGTGAAGAGTGAAGCTTCGGCAAACAAAATATTTTGTGGGCAATTGTTTCACCAATCCGATTTGACGTACACACAAAGCACCTGTCCTGATAAGGAATTGTTTCAAAGGGTCTCGTGTGCTCATGTGTACATATCTCGAACGCCAATCACGAAGGCAGATGCTCTATTGCCCTCGCTACGCTAGCTGATACAAAGTGCAGAACGTGTAAACATCTCGTGGAGTGAAGTCTTGTATTTAAACCAACGGAAACTGCCTTTGATTTCAAAGTGGGATGTTACAGGGTTAAGATAAAAAAAGCTATACGCAAGTTATCGAAGGTCAGGAAAGGCGAAATTGGGGACGGTCCCATTAGCACAGGAATATCACGTCTCTTCACGCTAACAGGAATTGTGACGGAATCTGTGCTGATAGTTGAATGCACTGTTACATAACACACATATAAGCGTACGTCTCCAACCGAATCACACGTTGTTTGCTGAGAGGGAAACCAAGATTGGACTGGAGCATTCATCTCATCAATTTCAGAAGAGAAATTGGCGTATCAAACTAATCAAGGTATTTCGATATTCTATATTTTCCGTGTAAGCACATATTGATTGATGTTAATAAAGAGATGAATATACATCATAGACACATTTAAACAGATAAATAAACCTGATCCTGTATTAAGTCCAAAATTAAATCATTATATACTATTATTTTA